CTGAACATGTTTGCTAGGGTATCAAGACCAGACCAGACCACAATAACTGGCATGGAAACAAGAGCTTCTTTTCTTACTTCTTCAATTTCATCATGAAGAGCTAAGTCCAGAACTTCAAAACCTCTCCCGGTACTAAATCTTGGACCAAGCTTTGACACAACTTGAACAGAGATCAGCTTTGCTTTCCATGGAAGATGAGACTTAGGAACCACTAGAGTGTGGGTCCATGGAAGCTTTAGCACCACATTTATATCCACCTCATTATTTTCATTCTTAAACAGATTGTCCTCAAAGAAAAGGGACCCTATTAAGAAGGATTGAACCAAAGTGTATTAAATACCAGAAAATATGATAGTCCATAATTAAACTGTCAAATGAAGTACTTTTTTGAATGAGGAAAAGGATTCACGTTTCATAGTCACTGACCCATCTAATTGAAATTAAAGCTTAATTACGTTGAGCTGAGTTACATGAACTAGTAAAAAGAAGCAAAGGGATTATCAGAAACTATATCTGCAAAAAGGACTTAAATAGTTATGTTTTAATTTTCTTATAAATACCTGGCTCTACAAATTTGATTCTCAGAGAGCTATTTTTGGTTGCATTCATAGCATGAGATATATGAGGATTACTCAGTGAAACTGAAACCACTCAGAACCTATTTTCTTCATTTAGAGACTTAGGAAAGCACATGAAATTGTCAAGCCTTTTAATAGAATATATTCCTAATAGGTCAAGTTTCAGTGAAACTTCCAATGAAGTTTAAATCCGCTGTCTTACCTTGTATAAGCAGCATACTGTGAATTCCTTCCAGGTAGATAGAAATATCAAGCGTGATTGGACTCCCTTGCTTTGCCTGCAAAACATGAACCTAAATAAATGATAAGGAAACCAAGAAAAAGAGTAGGCTAACAAGAAATTTGCATATCTATGCTTACCTGCTCACATATCCAAGGAATCCAAGTCTGCATCTGACGAAATATGCAGAGTGACATATTGGTCTGAGGGTATCTACAGAAGGCAATGGAAAGCAGGCTAAGAGCCGTTAACGCAACATCTGGTCTTAAAGCGTCATGTTTGACACTAGGAGTGTTTAAAGTTTCAACAAATAGAAGAAGTGAATCATGCATAGAATCTGCGTATCCTTCTTCTCTTTCATAAGAAACTAAACCAGTAAGTTTAATATCCCCCTGAACATTAGTGTTAGAAAACTTAACTTCTCCATCTACCTTTTGACGTTTTATCTTAAAAGGACCAACATCGATGATTTGTCTTTTTTCTCCAACCTTTGGGCTTGCTATTGATATATCACTTGAGGTTGATAAACCCAAGTTACTAAGCTCTGTTGTTCCTCCTCCAACACGATTGGGACCAAGAATAGAGAGAGCAACTTGAAAGCAATCAACCAACAAAATGCATGGTTCAGGACAACAAAGTACATGAATAAGAAATTCAGGCCTCCATATATGAGGGGGGCAAGTTCTTGAAATCCTTATATATGCAGTGCACAATGCAACCTGGAAATGCATGAATATATCTATGAATACGAGGGAGATACAATACACACACACACACACACATATATATAACAATAAAGTCATTATGTGCTTGAACCTCAATTTACCTTAAGCTCCGTGCTTTTGGTTCTCCACATTGAGTTGGGGAAAACATAAACTAAATTTTCTGCTGTTAGCTTGACAACATCATCAGGACAGCTAGTGTGCAGTGCCCTAAGGCAACCACCTATGGAGGAATCATATTCTAAGTTCCTGAAAAAGTAAACATGGTAAAGAATACTAAGAATGACATACATAAAAAATCGATTTGCAACATACATCAACAACATAAGAAATTTCAAGAAAACAAGAATGCATGCAACTACTTACTGCTAGAGCTCTAAGTTATCACCCGCTACACAATCTATGACTTCAAAAAAGTGAACATAATTTCCCCAAACAAGTGGCAGACGTCAGAATCATCATACAATTATGAAACCAAAATCAAAATTTTGTCTATCGGGTGCAATGTGGCTCCACCAATAAGCATTCTACCAACATATGGGGTGCTTGGAACTTAAAAAATAGGCCATAAAGAAACCATCTTAGTCAGCATGTTGCCATTGTAACTAGTTGGACAAAATATAATATGTTACTTCTCATCTAACTCATAATCCTAATTAAAACTTTACCAAGATAAGGTTATAGTTCCAAGAATTAGAAGTCACTCTACGGCTCATAATTTTATAATCATTTCACATGGTTCCTACGCATTTGCATTGTGCCCTCTTTTGGAATAAATTTCCAGTAAAAAAGAATCAGAATGCACACCTGAATACAGGGAGTCCCTCTTTGTCCTCACTTAGTATGGAGGTTATTGATTGGATTAAATTTTCATGAGGAACAATGTCAAAGCTCATCGCTGACCCAATGACACGTGCAAAGTCAAAACATGCCTTCCACAAAATTTAAATTGTCAGCCACTGTGACAAGAGGATATTGGAAACCATGTGACCAAATCTAAATGAACCAAGATGTAATAATTGCATTCAAGAAGCTCATTATTAAATATACATATAACCCACCATGTGCAAATCAGCATCTCCATAACATAAAAGAGAGCATGCAGCACAAACAAATGATGTATTGATGAGCCCTTCCACATATAGAGTTCCTTCAGTTAAGCATTTGCTAACAAGCTTTATGATCCAAGTTGCAAAAAGTTGCCACCTGTTTCTGCCCAAGAGGTTAATCAAGATGCCAGGGCCATCAATGGGTTTATTGCTTGTTGGGAGATCACACAGACATGTTGAATCACTTAAATTTCCAGAAAAAGACCTATGGAAACACTTTAAAGTTAATTCAGTGGCTTCTGCAATTCTTGAATTTTCCACAGAGTGGGATCCCATATAACAAATATCTGGATGAATACAAAGCCATGTTAGTTTTCTTTTATGTTTTTAGATGCATTATGATCAGACGGCCAAATAACTGAGCCACCATGGATTAGAACAAATAAGAATCATAAAATTAAGATTAATCAGTTAGATAAGGTAGCAGTGAAAACATAATCATAACAGTAGAAACTCTCACAAAGTTCTCCCTTTACCTTCAATGACAGACATGGCATCAATGAAAAGCATTCGGTATGCATCTCGAGATCCAGTACGAAGTAAGGATAGAAGGGGTCCAATTGTATCAAAAATTACTCCATGTCGAGAGCTGAAATATGATAGATAATTCTTGAAAATACAGCAAAAACATAAAAGCTTTGAAATGTGCAATAAACAAATTTAACAAAACCCAAACACAAGACAAAAGAGACATTGCAAAAAAATGCTTTGAGCAAGGGAATGTTATTAGATCACCAACCGAAACGCAGGTTCAGCAAAAAAGGGCAATATCCGACCAATCACAGGCAGAATAGCACTGGCCTTGCCATGGTAAAAAACTCCAGGAAAGTTCCTTGCTGTGTGAGAAATGAGCTTCAACACAGCTATAACTTCTCGTTCATTGGCTGCAAAAAGTGTAACATCAATAACAATAACTACAACTTGCATAAAATCTATTATATATTTCCGAAGTTCTACATCATTGAGAACCGGTGGTAAAAAAGTAAAAATAAAAAGTCAAAGAAATTAAGAAAACATTAAAAATAGTTTCTAAGTAAACGGCTCGTATCTTGTAAAAAAGAGGGGAAAAGAACTGCAATCAAATACCCAAAAATAAAAACAATTTATAACTGAATTCGCCCATTTCTTGAAAATCATAGAAAAAATTGATTCTTGACAATCTCTTTTCTCAGAAAACCGACATAAAGGAAAAGGAAAAAAGAAAAGCGCTTTCTTGAGTTTAATTCTTGAATCTTGAACAATATCAAACCTTTCTTTCATTTTCTTATCATTTAAAGGAGAATATCAAACTTGATTCTTGGTTTTATCAATATCAAACCAAGAAAACATCAAAAAAAGAAAGAGAGATGGTTTTGGTTTTGTGTTTTGAACAACAGAAACCCAAGAAAACCCACATTGTAAACCCAAAAACCCGAAAGAAAAGAAGAAGGTGGGTTCTGGAAAGCGAAAGAAAGAGTACCAGAAGAAGAGGGTACAACGTAGGCGTGAAGAAGATTGGGAAGAACAGCACGGAATCTGGTCTCTAAGACATCATCGTTGTTGTTAATGTTGTTGTTTGGAGGAGTAGAAGAACTTGCAGCAATGCGTTCACGGAGTTCGTGAACCAAGCTGGACAGATTTTTACTGTTACTATTACTGGCCATTGCATTTGCTCTCTCTCACTGTTCTTCCCTCCCAATTTCGAAACTTCGGAGTTTGCCCTTTGTTTCCTTTCCATTTTCTGGGCCTGGCCAGGATTCTATATTTATTTTTTGGCGTTGCACTTGCACGGTTGCACCGCCTTTCTAATATGAAAACCCGTTTTTACATTTTTTTATTTATATATTTATTAGGCCCGGTTTAGTGGGCCGATAAGTGGGCCTATCTCGAGCCATGTATCTCACATTAGGCTCTTCTGGACGCACTGCATCCGAGGCCGAGTGGTTTTATTCACAAGATTTTTAGATCGGTTTTTAATTTTTTTTTCCCCCCATTTTACGCATTAAAATTTTTAAATTTTAAAAATTAGGGGTAAAATTCGATTTTTTGGATTTTTATAATATCTAAAATTATAACTTTTAAAATTTAAACCGAATTTTTTGTAAAATTCAAATTTTGCCGATTTGATTTAATTCATTAATTTTTTTATTTTTTATATATTATTTTAATATAATTTAATATATTTAAATAAATCTAAATATAAAATAATTATTTTTATTTTATAAAAGTTAAAAATATACATATGAACTAATAAAAATATATAATTCATTCAATTATTTTTTTTAATTTTTATTTTTCGATCTAAAATTTAAATTTAATATATACATTTAGTATTCAAACTTAATTTAAATAAAATTAAACATTACAATTTCAAATCTATTTTCACTTTTATTGATTTTTTTCTCATCCAAACTAAAATTTGGAAATGTCCTCTTTTGGAAAAGAATTTTTGGTCTTTGACTCATTAATTGTCAAAAAAGAAAAAAAAATTGAGATGTCCGTGGAACACGAGGACTTAACAATTAATGGAGGTACAGCCAAAAAAAGGAATCAATCAAAATAGAGAATCGAACTTCAAAATAAAAGTTACAGAGCTCATTCATACCACCATCCCTTGTTACAGATTGATAAATCAAAGCGAAATGGGGAATGGCTGGTTAAAGAATGGACAGAGTCACGTAGACGATAAAATACTGAAAAAAAATTTAACAAACCTGATTGTAACTTGATCATTGAATAAAATACTGTACAGTGCTGATGAAAATGCTGGGAATCGTCAACGGAGTTAAGAGCCTATGTTCAGGTTATAAACATCACTGCATAACTTGTCGTCGACTTTAATGGTAGCCTCTTCTAAGGACAGACAAGAATCTTCCAGAAGATTTCTCTTTACGCCGATCTTCACCTTCATCTCCTACCTGTTTTACAAACTTATCCAATGTTAAAATTTGATATTGATATTCATATTGTTCAGAAAAGGGAAGAGAAAGAGAGTGCATGAGAGAGTCAATCCAATAACTCAAAGCAGTCATATTAAGGGCAACCGACATTGAAAGTAGTGGTTTTCATAATTTGATTCAAAATTAATCGAATCAACCGAATGAATACCCCTAATTGAAAGTATGTAAATAAGTCATACAAGAGAAGATGCAGAGAATGATAACAAACCTCCTTGGCGATTTGCTGCAAAATCCCTATAATTTCAGAAAAATCAGGTCTTAGTGCCGGATCTTGTTGCCAGCATCTCTCAAGCAGTTCAGTAAGCTTCGGATTAGTGTGCTTTGGAATTGTAGGACGTAAACCCTGGAATCAATGTCAACGAAAAAAATGATTATTTCTATGTGATAATAATATTGTTCTCAACACTATGAAAATAAATAAATAATCCTTCATTGGCTTGTTCGTTTATTTCAGCATTATATCTATTACCAAAATTAAATTATTAAAAAAGATGGCATACCTTTTGAACCACTCCAACTGCTGCTTGTAATGGGGTTAAGTATTCATACGGGACCTGACAATGCAAACAAAAGCAAAGTAACACCATGGGAACCAACAACCGAAAGCAAACAAACACACATTTTCATGCATGCAAACCCTGAACGTATAATCAAAGAAATGATAATGAACGAGCAATACCTTTCCGGTTAACAATTCCCATAACACAATTCCAAAACTGAAAACGTCAGCCTTGTGATCATATGGTTTATGTTCAATAACCTTCAACACAAAAATAACTGTTGTAAGAAAATAATGAGATGAACAACCAATAAGCGGAGGAACAATAATCTCAACTCAAATGGATGCTATTACTAAGTAATCTAAAGAAGAAAATAAAAGCAACAATGAATTAGGAGTGCAAACTGATCATGCTACAAGCATCTTTTGTTTCTAGTCGTAACAGAGAAACATGATTGAAGATAACAAAGAAGCAAGCAAACCAATTCCTGAATGTCACTTTGGGCAATTATTATTTTCCTTTCCAAAATGTCTCGTATCTTGAAGAACAACTAAAGCACTTTAACCTAATAACGAAAAATAGCCAAATACCTTGGTTAGATTTTAGCTTCAGTCATAAAATTAATAAAGGATTTCACTTCTCTAATTTAGTTTTTAAAGGATATTCACTGATTCAATCCGCTAGTTTTATCAAGCCCTACCACGTTTCCAGAAAATGACACATTGCATCTATCATCCATTGTTTCAATTTTTTTCCTTTATATTCATAAGACACCCAAAGGGAAGTTAGAATATTCATAGAACAGTTTCTAACTGCTTTTGCATTAAGAGCACACCTCTGGAGCCATCCATCTATATGTTCCAGTTTCAGCCGTCATAACTCCAGATTGAGCTTTCACCCTAGCAACCCCAAAATCAGCAACCTTAACCACCTGCAATGCGAAGCATGCAATAGAACTTTTATCAAGATAGTAAACAAACGGTGAAAGCATTAAAGTTGATTTCAATCGCAATGAATTATACAGAATGACTATGTTTTTAGGAGAGAAAATTTGTTCTCAAGCAAGACTTCGAGAAAGGACTAAGGACAAGCTTAATTCAACTGAGAGTATACATTTAAGCAAATTTTTGCATCTTACTTCATTTTCATCCATTAGAAGATTGGCAGCCTTCAAATCCCTGTGGATTATATTATTTTGGTGCAAGTAGTTCATTCCTTTAGAAACATCTATTGCAACTTTAAGCAAGGATGGAAGTTTGAAAACACCCTTTTGTTTATGAAGGTAGTCATACACACTTCCACCAGACATAAATTCTGCAGAGAGAAGGAAAAGAGAAGACAAAAAAACAGTTGAGAAAGAAAACTAACATTAAAATTTTCTTTCACTTAGAAAAGAATATCTGAGAGAGAGAAAGAACAATAATCTTAAATCTCACTTTCATCTAATCAGTAAAGACCAATAAAGAATAATCAGACTACCTGTTACAATACACAAGCCTGGAGGCTTGGTACATGCACCAATAAATTGCACAACATTTTTATGCCGAACTTTCCTGCAAATTTTGAAGGAAATTGTTGATTAAAGGAGAAGATTATTCCTAGAAATAATGCAGTCACCCAAAAGAAGCATTCTATTTTGATAAAATATTAAAAAACAGTGCATTCCATGATGAAAGAAAGGGTAAAAAGTTTGAGCACTGATAACTAATTCCTAAATGGACATGTAAGCCACTGAATTATTTCTATAAAAATATATAAAAGTACACAAAATCTAGAAACAAAAGAGAAGCCTAGTATTATCAGCTGAGCATCAATTCAAGCCTTTAGGGAGTAAACAAAGGTATCTTTGACTTCAATATTCAATATTCTTGAAATTGAGGGTAAGTTTGGAAAAACCACCACTTAATACATTTTTTTTGGAGGGGTACCAGCTTTATAATTAGCACATCAAGATATTTCTTCACAAACCTCATGATAAAGACTTCCTGGGCAAACTCTTTCTGCATATCTGTATTTATACGCTCTGGCTTGAGGACCTTAATAGCCACTTCCTGACTACAGTAAGTACCTTTATACCTGAAACAGGTTAACAAGGACAATAATATCAAAGCTCAAAACAAAAAGAAAAAAAGACCAATCAGAAAATAATTAATTTACTTACAGATCCCCATATGACCCAGATGCAACTTTGTTCTCGAACTTCAAGTGTCTAGGATCAATTTCCCAAACATCAGTCCCATCATTAGGAATTGCCACATAATTCTGATCACCAATGGTCCTCGTTTCGTCGTAGTCCATTGTGGGAGAAAAAGAATGTTGCTTCAGCCAAGATTGCTTCTGCATAAAAACCCATTGAAAGTAAAGTCTGATTTGAGTTGCTCATAATACAAGCACAAACTTTTAGTTAATAAGTTCTAACTCTCACATCAAATTTCCCTTTCTCTATAAACATTAAGCATTTCAGCATATACACTTCACCTAGAATTGAACTAATCACTTATCAGTGGAACATCAGAAAGAAAAGAGCATGGAACACATAGAAAGAGTTTATGCAGATCAGAAGACAAATATTTCCCAATTAGGATTTGAAGCCCATTAATCCTAAACCTTGGAAGAGGGAGGGGGTAGGGGAGAGGGAAGGAAAGAGCTCAATAAGGGCTCAGTTTCACACTGTTAGGATTGTAGTATGAATTATTTTCTGTCACCAAGCCTGCCCATTATTAAACTAGTTAAAACTTTGTTTAGAAGTGACTTCACATATCAGTTGACCATTTACAGCACATAAATCTCTAGTGAAGAAGAATGCAAGGATCTAATGATGCATGGAAATGACCACTGTATCATGAAATTGTAAAATACTTCCAAACATTTCAAGTAACAGAAGGGCCTATTTACAGCTGATCAATTTTGCAAGTATTATTGTGCAGTGCTCCACTTGAAAAGCTAGAGAAGGCCAACAAAGGCAAACAACACAAAAATTTTATTAGATTAGACTCCCATCAAGCCAGTACTTTAACCTAATAGGGCAAGATAAAAATGATAAGAACACTCAGTGCAAGTGAATTTAAGCTTTGCAGATAGGACTAACACCACAACATTTCATATTAATTACTAGGACTGTGGGTACAAAACACATTGTCAAAAAAAGAGATCTTTCTCAGATAATATCCTAGATAACATTCAAAAGTCTCACAAATAATTTTAACGAACTTAAAACTGCAGTGAGAAATTACCTCAAGTTTTAAGACTTCCTTTTCCAAAGCATCTTTCAGCTGCTCCGTTTCCTGACAATTTCACATCACAAGTCTGTGAAGCACGTTCTAAAAAATTATAATTTTCTGATACATCAATGCTTAAAGTATTTAAGTGCAGCAATCAGCGCTCATCAAGTCCTCCAAAAGGAATTTAAATATGACTCTCAAGAAAACAAAAATAATTACCATCTAAACTAAAAAATGACAATTCATAAGTTGAGGAAACAGACGGCTTATATAAAAGTTTTGAGCAGTAATAAGGGCACTTATATTGACAGCTAAAGATAGCATATAAAAAATCAATCAGGAGAGCTGTTATTTTTTATTTTAGTTAAATGGCCATTGAACAAAACGATTATGTCTATAGATATCAAAGTAAGATATTAAAATGAAAAGTACCTCATATGGCCAACCATCAACAACAAAAACATCTAAGGAGTAACCATCAACTGTGGAAAATGCATGCGCTTCCTGGATGTTCAGCCCAATATCAGCAAGCAATGCAGTCAACTGCAAATATTGCATGGGCACGACCCAATGGAATGAGAAGCAATATTGCATGGTCAAATATTTAAAAATATGTGCATTTCACATGTGAGCTCAGGGGCTCTCTAGTGGAATAATCAAGTGCGGGTAACAATAAAACGATTGTAGTTTTTACATGCAAAATGACTAGCCAGAGAACAAGCTGCCAGTTGCTTGAACCAAGAGCTCAGATGGAACCTAAGATGCATTTTTTTATCATTCACTTTATTCCAAAATAATCTAAGAGTGTAACCATCTCAAGTTCATGAAGCAACAACTTCGAAATAACAAGATGAGAAATAAATTTACACTTCAAATTTGACAAACAAACGTATCATATACCTGACTGAGAACTTTTGGTTTGTCTTCTATTGAAAATGTAATTTCATGCAAGGGCCTGCATAAGCAGCAATTAGAAAAGAATGTAATTTTCACCATCCAAATGGATAGAAACTATTTACAAAGATTCACCTAAAATGACACAAGTATCAGTAGATGAACGACAAGGCAGATGGACAAAAGCTGAACATGACAATAAATGTCATCACATGCAGGCACAAATGTGCAAAACTACACCTAAAATTTAACAAAAGATAGCAGGTGTGGAAGCACACCTCTGAGGTAAGAAAAGTTGAACTTTTACAAGAGTTTATCCGTTAATGTGCTCCTAAATATTTAAAAGAACCAACACATAATATTCAAAAACGATAAGTTGATCAAGTCCAAAGACAAGTTACCACTACTTAACCAAAATCTTAGTAGAAACAATCAACCCTTGCCTAAGGAAATTTTAAGACATAAATAAATACCGGGAAAAATGTGAATTGGCATGTACAGAACTATCTCCATCTTGATCATGAGATTTATTAGCTTCCAATGCAAGAGCTTCAAGATTAGGCGAGGAGCCAAAGGCAGGTGGTGGATGTATGCTGACAATTGAAAAGCCAGCTAGAATTGTCAAACTCATTAACAACACCAGTCAAGGTGCAAAATAAACAAACAAAATACTGAAAGAAAAAAATCAAGAGGTATATCAATTATACAAGTATTTAAGACAGATTCTGCTCCAGACATATGAGAGCTGTTTTTAAGAAATTCATGCATGTACATTATATATAGCAAAAGCTTTTCAAAACCAGACCTCTGTCTGCTAGACTGTTTCATTGATCTCTGAGCAGATTCCTCATATAGGGGGTCTGAAAGAGCTGAATCAGCTAAACTCCCACTATAAATAGATTGGACCTACACAAGCAGATAATCATCATGGTACATTTGACCATAAACAAAGTTTAGAACAAGATATTCGAACACTTGAAAGCAAATCAAGAGCTGAGACCAATAGGTTATACTTATGACATTTAAATGACACATCGATTCAAATTGAGAACTTGAATGTTTAGAAGAAACCCTCAAGATGCACAAATGAGTATGTCCGGGAATGGGTGCAACAGCAATATCAAATAAAAAAAATACATAAAAGTTTTCCGTTGGAGAGTGAGAGAGACAAATGCATTTTAAAAATAATGTTGAACTGCATAAGAAATTACATGATTAGGGTATACAAAGTGAGAAAAAGAAATGACAAAATGTGTTTGGAAATCATTTAAATTAAACTGCTAAGAGTGTCCAATATGCACATTTTATCAAATAGAATCATTTTACAATCAGTTAGCTTTATAATCTCATTGATAAGTTATAGCCGGAATAAGGAATCATTCAGGACAGGATGATAGTACTAGCAACTGCGATCCACAACTAAATAATTGATGTGTTTATTGACAACCATGCTTTCATTTTTAGAAAGTTCTAAAATGACCAATTTACAATTGGGATAAATAGTTAAAATGAGTCTACCAGGGCCAATATGCACTTAAACATTATCATGTTGAAGAACATTCAAAGTTTCACAAGAATCACATCTATCTTTCCACTATTTTTGTGAAAAGAAGAAACAATATGAAAACTAACGTCCATGATGAGAGGGTGGAGTACATGACATAAAACGGAAGAATAGGTTTATTTCAGCCAACTAAATTTGAGACAAAGTCAAGTTCAAAAGTCAACTAGGTGTTTTGTAAGTGACAACTACGGGCAACAAGTTTGTAGTAGCCTACCAAGATTTGGGCAAACCCAGTCAAAAGTCCAAAACCATAAACTTGACACTTATTTATTAAAAATGATGCATGCACTTTCGCACGCATTTTCCAAAGGTCAAAGATAAAGCAATCTAACCAACTGCATGTAGCTGCTAGATTACACATAGCAAAGGACAACTTCTATTTTGCAAAACAGGATAAGACTGGAGCCTAAAATATGAAAATAGTGAAATATTATTTCAACCTCCAAATTTTCTTACAGATATAAGTATCTTGTACATACAATGTATTCTGGTATACAATGAATGTTTCTATTAATCTAAAAAATTAGGTAGTGAGACACGGGACCTGACAACTTTCAATTTCAAAATTGATGAAGCAAGTACACCACATCACATGACTCATGACATTAACGATACACCAATAATTCTAAAAAAGACAAAGAAATCAATGTTTAGAAATACCAATTTTTTCGCCTATTCTGAAAACATAAAGCAAATCTTAATGCTTAGTTATGAAATGTAACCAAAAAAAAGCGAGTCACCTGCACAAGACGAACTTCCATTGCCGGTCTGTTGGCAGGATCATGAGCCAAATGCAGTAATCTCTTGTGCATAAGAACATCTTCTGCTCTTTCCACATTCACATCCAATGCATAGCTGCAATGTATAAACTCACGCTTAATTCAAACAACTATTTATTAATTCAACAAAAATCAGAATATTCAATTTCCTGAGAAATAAACAGAAAAATGAAAAAAGAAACCATCAAATCTGCTTCCCTTTAGTTGTTTTTGACCTTATCGGCAGCAAATCGAACATCAAAAAACAATACAGAATTAAAAAAAAAAGAAGCAATAATACGATATTAATCCACTAATCAAAACTAACAACAAAACCTTAAGCTACAAAAATCCATACCAAGCGCTACTGATTTAACCATAATTTTAAACCAAACAGTTCCTTAATTCTAAATGCTTTATATTCTTCGAAGCACAAAATCCAAACAGAAAAAAAAAAAAAAAAAAACTCCGTATCTGAGATTCAGTAACCTTCATAGTCACAAAACAATTATTACAACGGATACATATATAAGAAAAATATGTGAAAATGTTGCTAGTATTTGTTTTCGTATATTATGCATGTAGTAAGTTTTGAATAAAAAATGTATTAAAGGATATACCGAGCAGGGAGACGATTAAAGTGAGTCCAAAGTTCGTCGTCGAAGCCAGGCCGATTAGCCTCTTCTATGTCGGATTCTCTAAGCCGCCGGAGCACCTCATTGTACGCGTCCAGCTTTTGCCGCTGTTGCCGGCTCTGCAACGGCGACATGTTGTTCGCTTTCCTCCCGCAACTCTCGTTATCCATCATCACCATCGATTGCAAAAAAATAAAATTAAATTAAATAAAAGCCAAAGGCAAGGAAAGGAAAGGTGTGAATGTGATGATCTTTTGCTTTTCGTTCTCGTTGAGTTTATAAGGAGATGCAGATTTGATAAAGTTTCGGATTTTTTCCAAAATTAAAACATAAATAAATATATTTCTCTCTCACAATAAATATTTTTTTATTTTGGCTCTGCAGAATGTTTAACGATGGATAAGAGTCAATAATAATGTGGGTAACGCCCAACTTTTACTGGTGGGGGCTCAAGCTTGACTGTACCCTTGATATTGCTGAGTAATGAGATTAAGCAGCTTTTTCTGTATGTTTACTCATGAGTTGACTTTTTTTAGGGATTTGGCTTAGGTCGAACCAAAACCTAACTGAGCTGTAAAGGTTGACGCCACATCAGAAATGATAAGGCTGCGAACATCATAAATTTGTGTGGCAGGGATTAATTAAGGTATTTTGAATTTTTTTAATATGATTGAGATATCTCATTTTTTTAGATGTATTTAATATTTTAATTCTGAATTATTCATATAAAGATCAATTTTTTATAAATAAAAAAAATAAATGAACTTAAAGGTGTTTTGATTTGTTGTACATCATTTTTTTTAAACATACAGCTTTTAATGTTTGTATTTATAGTCAATTGATTTAGTAAAATATATGATAAAATCTTATTTGATTTAAACAATTTGTTTAAAATATAGAATTTAATTTAATTTTTAATTTTAATAATTTAAACTTGAAATGGCATAAATAAGATTAATTCAAGTGTTCAACTTAATTGCTTAAATGATTTAATTATAAAATAACTTAAATTTAAAATAATTTAAAATTCAAATAATTTAAATTCTAAATAATCTAAAAAAATAGTCTCAAACCAATAAATAATATGAATTTCCTCTCATTTGAAATGATTCAATCTAAAAAGACTCGACCAATCAAGCACGCTGAAGCACAATCTTTATTTAATATGATGATTAATTAAATGTAATAATAATTTAAAAATACTTTAGATTAGGCATCTACATAGCATTTTTCATTTTGTTAGAGTTTATATTTAATATATTATTAATGTATAGATTTTATAATTTATACATTATCATTAAATAGAATGATATTAGTTCATTAATAAAATAATTCAGATGATATTACTTTATTAATGAATAAATTATTTAAAATATTAAATTTTTATATATTTATTTTAATGATTGATATTTATTCATTAATAATATTACATCATTTGATTCATTATACATAAAATTTAAATACTAACAATACATTAATATAAACTTAAAATATTAACCATAAAATTAATTAATCAATTATACTATTTTTTATTTACTAACAAAATCACTCCATACCTATTAAAAAAACAAAAATAAATCGCTCCACAAAATGCCCGCATTTCTTACTTATTCACCCAAACTTTAAATTTCCATTCAAAACCTTAATCTCCTTTTATAAAAGTAAATACACATTAACCGAAAATTCCATCTACATTTGCCGACTTATAATTAGCAAACTAAACATGTAAATCGTGGATCATATTAGAATAAATTAATCAATTAAGAACTAAAAAAACTTAATTACTTGATTAATATAATCAACTCGTACAACTAGCTGAAAATGTCGGTCCACATTATGGTGTCTAATAATCGTTTTAATCCACGTTTTTTGTATCTAAGTTTTTTATAATTTATTGATGTGATATTTATTTTATTTTCAACTTATATTTTAATTATGTATTTTTATACAATATTATTTTAATCAATATCATTAGACATTTGATCAATAATTTTTTTAAATATAATTAAGTTATTTTTTCAAAGTCTTTGTTCATGTGAAAATAAAAATAATTTAAATTAAGAAAATGAGATTAGTTGGGGATTATTCTTTCGATTAATTACCGGATAGATAGACACTATTAGATGATCACGTGATATGGGAAGTGGGGACGCGAGTTCGCGCTTACACGTGGCTCTAGGAGAGAGGAGGACGGGGGAGTTGTCTACGACAGGTAGGCTGAATATCCGCATCTGGGAAGGAATAATCCGAGTTTGGTTTTGGATTTGGCTACCTGGTGTTTACTGACATGGAGAAACCGTTGACGTGGCAAAGTGGCCTTTGGCTGTCACCACAGGTCAGGGGTGAGATAAAAGAGGTGAGAGACTGCCAGCGAAGCGGCGAGTGGACACGGTTTTAATTTTACGATGATAATTAATGCAATATGAAAAAAAAAAAAAACGTGTTTGATTGTTTCACGTTTTATGATAAAAATTAAAGGAAAATTTTTAAGTAAAACTTAAATTACTTTAATAATTTTAATTTTTTATTTAATTATTTAAATAAAAAATTTAATAAACTTATTATAAATAATTTTATCTAAATCCTCCTCACATTTTAATGATATTAATAAATGTTATATGAATGATAAGTTTTATTTTATTTGTTTTAAATTTAATAATTTAAAATTTGATATAATGATATGATATAAATATAATATAAAAATTATATAATTTAAAATTATAATTATAATTATAATTATATATAATTTTAATAAAATAAAAAATTATATTTTATATTTTATATTAATATAAATTATAATACATAATTTTTATAAATATATAAATTTTAATATTATATATAATATAAATATATCAATCGCCAAAATCTAATGCATTCTCATTCAATTTTTTTAAAGAAACGGGATAATGGGAAGTAATAGATAACTAAGGTGAGAAAACTTTGAACACGTGGGACCCGGTGGGTTCCTGATGCAAATTGATTTCTTTTAGCATATAATGTGGTTTGGACTTTGGCGTTGGGATCAAGAAGCATGGATCAACCGCCAAACTTCTAAGTGAGAATTAATGGGACCCAGTTGGCAGACAAACCTAGGTGTAGGATAAGTATGGGGATTAGCTATCGGGGAAAGGAATCCAAGTTGACGGCTCGACAGCCTAACATAAATAATTTTCATTAAATTAATTTTGAATTAAGAACCGAGTTCTAGCCTTTTTACGAGAATAATGTTAAAAAAAAAAAAAAACCAAGATCAAGCATTTTAGTTTTTTTTTTTAAGCCTTAATTCTGGCAGCAGATAGTTGGTAATGTCAATTAAATCAGATATATTTTTCTAAGTTATATGCAATTTCAAGTCTTTCAAAATCATCTTGAAATTTCGAAATGATGTTGTGTTCTGATAGAAAAAAAATAATCTTTTTTAGTTAAAAACAAAACACAAAGCCTCTCCAATGTTTGAGTTAGAATATGAAAACACATAGAAAACTCAAAATTAATAACAAAATCTTATATATGTAATAATCTTTCGATGATATGATCATTTATATATTTATATTTTATAAAATAGTTAAATTTATATATTTATATTTTATTTTATATAAAAATTACGTATTATAATTTATATATTTTTATATTAAATATAAATATAATTATTATTAAAATTTTAAATCGTATCATTTTTATATTTATATTATATTATCATATTATAATTTAGACAAGTTTATCCAACGGGCTTCTCCGAACATGGAAAAGAAATTCCAAAAATCATTATGAGAAGGGATAAATTATAACATACTTCATGTGTATTTTCATGGGTGCCATTTTCATGGTGAGAAAAAAAGCTATAGACAACTTTATTTCATGTGATAATGCTTTGTTGAGTTGTCGATCATATCATTGCCTATTTTTTTAACAGGTAATGTGAAATAGGTAGAGATATACATTGAATCCAGACATTGTTTCTGATTTGTTGAATGAGGACAAGTTATCTAATTTATTTTTTGAATAAAATTGTCATCATCAAATTATCCTAATTTGTTTTTAGACATTTTTATGAGTAATGTAATAGATAATTTACATTGAATAATTCATTATCTTAAGCATGAGCTTTTCATGACAGAGATTGTTGTTTAACAATTTAGACTTGAAATATATGTACATTTTTCTTATATATAAATAAATAATATAATTAAAAGATAAATTTAAATTTAAAATTTAACTTAATTAATTCACGTAATCATTTGTAAAAGATGATATCGATAAATTTAAAATTAAAATTTTAATATCTGTCATCTTTTTTTTTTATTCTCGAAATATGATTTTTTTTTATAACAAAATTATATTTTTCATTTAAAATATACATTTTTATAATTTTATTTTTTGTTACCTTTATCTTATTTAAAATAGTTGTTGAACACGTGAAATTTATCTAATAATCATGGTGTTGAAATTAAATTAAAAAAATTCAAAATCTTCTCCATATACAATGTGAAAATATTGTTGTGTTATATTATTTAATAAATTATAATTTCGTCTTGTTGTGTTAGTTCAATTCTAAGGTCGGAAAAAAGATTCATGTGAATTACAACACATGTTTTACATGAATATATATATATATATATATTTATATATAATGCATTAAAAATAGAAATGAAGAGAAGCAAAATCGACTTTCCTAAAAAAGATTCACATTACGTGCAAGTGGAGTTTGTTTCAAATCAATGAAAGTGAGAAGAGTTTATATTTAATATATTGTTAGTATATAAATTTTATATAATATTAATGGATAATGATATTATTTCATTAATAAAATAAATCATATGATATTATTTCATTAACGAGTAAATTAAAAAAATAAAATTTTATATATTTACTTTAAAAATTAATATTTATTTATTAATAAGATAATATCATCAAATTTATTAATAATATAAATAATTTATTTATTAATAAAGCATCAAATATAAATTATATGATTAAAAAATGATTTAAATTACTGTAAACTTTTAATCATTATTGTCCCATAATTCATTTTTTTTATTGGATTGTGAAACTTTCTCGCAATCATGTTGAGTGTGTTTTAAGAATCGGATCGGATTCAATTACAAAACGTATTTTTTGATATGGTAAAAATCAAACTTAAATCCATACGGCTTAAGTCTTAAATTCCTATATATTACAAATAAGCTGCTTCAAGTCTATGAACAAAGCTTGCTTTGGTAGGTCAATATCGTTCAGAGTTCAAGGTCCAAAATTAGAATGGGATTAAAACTTAAATACAGAAACTAGATTAGGATTTAGGAATCCATTTCCCCATCAAAGTCTATTGTGTACTCGAAAAGTGTTGGAAATTCCATTGCAGAAGCCCATCAAGTCTAATGGCCTTTGCCTGAAAATGGAAACGATCCCTTCTGTCAAATGTATCGGTGTTAGGAAAATTGGGCCTAGCTCTATGTACTTGATTTTGGGTCAATCAAAGGTTAGGGTCTTGATTTTTTTTTATATAAAACTCTAGTTATTTAATAAAAAGATGTGAAATTATTTTAAAGTGGTATTACAAATCAAGAAGAAAAAAAAGTCATAAAAAAAAAGAAAAAAAAAAAAGAGTTGGTTGAATAGAAATCAATCCATGATTTGATTGAGTTGAAACTTTGTTAATAAATTTATGATTCAAAATTTTACATTTTAAATGATAAAGATTGGTTTTGAAGCTCTTTAAGAATAAATCAAATGTGTATTTGTTGAGTCACTTATTTAATGAGATTTCTCAAATTATCTTTTTAATTGTTGATTAGTTATAGTTTTAGTTAAAGAATAACTTTGTATATTCATTATTTGATAGTAAAGATTTTTTTACGGTCCGTGATTTTTTTTTATACACTGAAAGATTTTTCACATAAATCTTGATGTATTTTATTTTTTTACATTGCTGATTATTAATTGTTATTTATTACTATAAATTTATTGCAACATATTATTTCTATGTTATTGTGTTTATTATTTCAGGTCCAATAATTGAATCCGTGGTCCGTGATCCGATTGAGTTAAAACTTTGTCAACGAGTTTATGATTCAGAATTCTACATTTTGAACAGTAAAAATCGAGTTTGAAGCTTTCTATGAACAAATTCAATGTGTATTTATCGAGTCACTTATTTAGTGAGATTTATCAAATTATCTCTTTAGTTATTGATTAATTATAGTTTTAGTTAAAGAAGAACTTTGTATATTCATTATTTGATAGTAAAGATTTTTTGGTAATCCGTGATTTTTTTCTATATACCGAAAGATTTTTCACATAAATCTTGATGTATTTTATTTTTTTTTTTGCATTGCTGATTATTAATTGTTATTTATTACTGTAAATTTATTGCGACATATTATTTTTATGTTATTGTGTTTATTACTTCAGGTCCAGTAATTGAATCTGTGGTCCATAATTCGATTAAGTTGAAACTTTATCAGCAAATTTATGATTCAAAATTTTACATTTTGAATGGTAAAGATCGGATTTAAAGCTCTCTAAGAATAAATTCAATGTGTATTTGTTGAGTTACTTATTTGATGAGATTTCTCCAATTATCTCTTTAGTTGTTGATTAGCTATAATTTTAGTTAAAAATTTTTTTGTATATTTATTGTTTGATAGTAAAAATTTTTTTGGTGGTCATTAATTTTTTTTTATACACGTGAAGATTTTTCATATAAATCTTGATATATTTTATTTTTTTGTATTGTTGATTATTAATTATTATTTATTACTATAAATTTATTATGATATATTATTTTTATGTTATTGTGTTTATTGCTTCATATTGAATAATTAAATCCACGATCCACGGCCAAACTCTTTTGACAAAATCAGACATGGGTCCATGCCCATTTAACCTAGTTCCCTAAAGAAGATTGTCGGTTCATGTTTTGCTGGACATTGGCTTACAAATTACAAAATGTGAAGTCAACTCACCCAACCATAACTTCAATTCATTGTCTATCATGGCAGGATAATTCTTGCCAGTCTTTTAGACAATCAAAGCCATAATCACATCCATGTCTAACGGATTCTTTTTCCTAATCATTGATCTTGATCAACTGCAGATAAAAATAATTTTCTTTCATCCAAATTAAGGTTGGCTTTAGAGGTGAAAGAACAAGGAAGAAAATATATAGATGAAGATTTAACTCAATCAAAGGAAAGAAAAAGTTCAAGCCAAATACTAAACAGAGAGAGCAAACATCTTCCAAACAACAGGTTCTGAGAGCTATAGATTTTCTAAGGATAAGCTTCAATGACAGATTGCACTGCGTGGATAGGCTTAACATTGAATCGGGTAAACCCTGACTCTTCAAGAACATAGCTCCATTCTTTTAAGGTCCTCTCTTTGCCTTTGTTAGTATGTGCCATCATCACCATGTCTAGCATCAACCTTACAAAATCTAGCTTGTCATCTTGGTTTTCTTCAAGCACGGCATCAACAATTATAACCTTCCCTTTGTCTTGTGGAATCGCTTCTCTACATTTCTTTAGGATTTTTGTGCATTCCTCATCATCCCAGTCATGCAAAACCCACTGCAATTCACAAACATATAGAATTGTCAAACTCTAATGCTAAGGATTAATTAGGTCGACCCTAGGCAATATCGTTTTCAATTAAAATTATCAATAAGTTTTATTTTATTATTATAACTTCCATGGCTACATATCCTTTTGTTGGCCATGCATGTGCATAATAACACATACTGAACTGAAGGAACCAAGGTTCAGGGATGGAGGCCAGATCATACTAACCATAAGGAAAGCAGCATCTGCCTTTGGGACACACTCGAACATGTCTCCTCCTACATTTTCAATGCCATCAAATTTTGGTGCAACAGCCACAACATGAGGAAGATCAAAGTTTATGCCTTGAATCCAAGGGAATGCCTTGACCAACAAAGTCAAAGCAGTCCCATTACCTCCACCGACATCAACCAAACTTCCAAGCCGATCAAACACTTTAGGACATCCTTCAATTATGGCTGGCACCGTCACTCTAGCATCGCAAGCCATTGCCTCGTCTATGAGTTTTCTATGACCAGGGTTCGTCTCAGCATAGCTCCATACATCCTTCCCATTCGCTGCCTCAAATGGTGAATTCCCGCTGTCAAGGACACCGGTACTTAGACTATGCCATGGTGTTAACATGGCAGGGCTGCTCTCTAGCAGAATCAAAGCCGCCATGCTTTTTTCTCCATGTATAACCAAACGACGAGACACCGGTGTCAGTGCATAGCCAATGGAGTCTTGGCTGATGGGTTCCTCTTTGAATATTTGGTAGTGGACCAGGAACCTCATAATCCGGAAAAGACGCGATGGTTCACATCCGAGGGCAGTCGATAGCTGGGAAAGTGTCATGGGGCTTCCGTGGTTTTCAATAGCATCAGCAATCCCAAGCTCAATGGCACATTTAACTACTGCCATCTTAACGTATCCAAAGACATAATTCCAAATATCTACTTCTGCTTGAGCATCTAAATCTTCTTTCAGTCCTCTCACTTTTACATCTCCCATCTCGATCTCTTAATATGAAGGAAAGGTTTTGGTGAAGCTCCGATATATAAGGAGAAAAGGGCTATCTATTTGGGGATTTAAATATGGTAATGGAGTTTTCAATAGGATCCTGGAGGATCAAATGACTACATACTTTTTTAATCTATAATCACCGAGAAATGCATATGATTGTATAGTTCGTATTTTTTATTGGCAAGCAGCAGGCAGGTTGCACGGCCAGGTGCTTTGTCATGATTCACGTTGGGACTTGGGATCACTGTCTTTCACTTAGCAGCTCTTCCCATTGTTTATTTTCTTTGTCATGATTCACGTTGGGACTTGGGATCGCCGCTCAACAGCTCTTCCCATTTGTTATTTTCTTCTATATCGGGTCAAGTTTCTATTTGTGATGGTTAAATAAATTGATTATAAATTTTCATGTTAATCATGTGTTTTGTTTTATATGCTAATATCGTTTCGATTTCCTGTTTCCTTTTCATATCCTCCAATTGAGCTCTTCCCATTTGTTATTTTCTTCTATAGTGGGTCAAGTTTCTATTTGAGATGGTTAAATAAATTGATTATAAATTTTCATGTTAATCATGTGTTTTGTTTTATATACTAATATTGTTTCGATTTCCTGTTTCCTTTTCTCATCCTCCAATTGTTGTCTGGCAATAATTTGGGACGTCCGACAAGATTTATAAGTGGATTTGGTGCATTACACCCTAATATCACGTCTTGGCTATGAAAAATATTAGATTATTCCTCGATTAATTAGCTATTTAAAGATCCATGCACCTTTTTTCCTTAAACGAATCGAGAAAGGCATTTTGATTTTTGATAGTACTTGGTGGAGTAGTTGAAAAGTTTCCAATCTCATTGTTCTCTGATTAGAGATTGGAGGAAAAAAAGTTTTGTGGTTCATTGTTTTTTAGGGCAATCGTTTTTTTTTTTTTGTCTAAAATATTTTATTATCTTAATTTAAAATAAAATAAAAATATTTTTTAATTATAATAGTCAATTATCATTGATCGAGCATTTTATTGTTTTATTTTTTAACATAATAATCGGTTGTTTTTTATCAAACAATCAACTATCATATTTAATTTTACTGATATTATTACATTAATATTTAAATATATATAACTATCATTGATTTTAATTTCATCGTTACAGTATCTAATATTTTAAGACCAAAAAGTTTCACTTGAAACATAACTTCTCTTCTGCTACTGTCAGAATTTCTTACCCATTGAATGAATCAAGCAAAATATGTGAGCCTTGGCATTCATAACATTGTTTTGTTTCTATATACAACTTGTCATGGATCAAAACTCACAGCTATCCTTTCAAACAAGAGGACTTCAGTTTCTCAACTTCTGTCAAAAGAGAGGGATTTCCCTCACAAAGCTTCCTTCAGTGTTTCTAACCACTTCTCTAAGTTGCTACTTTGCAGTGACAAACCCTCCTTTTTCTCAGCTATTGGAACTGTCGATGGCTTGGTATATTGAATGAATCCTGCAATTATATTCCTAAAGATAAACACATAAATAATGAAATTCAATAGAGAATCTAGATTGATAATAAAATAATACTCAAAATTATTGTCCGAAAATGTGATCTACATTATGAAATACTGGCTGACTACACACCATGGAGATTCTGAATGGCTTAACAAAACCTTTGTATAAAGAATGTACTATTGTTATATTATTTTAGATCCTATTTGTGAGTTATAGCACAATGCCACCATAATGCTTGTCATGCAGAATTGCTGGAAATAATTTGAAGCAAAGCACTTTAGCCAAAGGAGAGAACTTTAACCCTGCGGAATCTACTAGGGAGGTTCTGTTCTGTTGTGTTCTGTTCTGGTTCTTCAGCCTTGAAATTTAAAGGTAGTCACTTTAGCCAAAGGAGAGAACTTTATAGCTGGACTTGGCCCAACCCAAAAGACCATTAAACGACATGCCCTCTTCCTTTCCATATAAGGCCTACTCGCCATCATGGTTGTTCTGTTTCTTTTCCTTAACTTTGCCGCGAAAATAGGCGATGGCAGATTGGACCCAACTTCCCAAGGAGCTGCTAGACCTTATTTCCAAACGTCTAGATACCTCCTTCGACGTCGTCCGTTTCCGTTCCGTTTGCTCCACGTGGCGGTCCGCTGTTACTTCCCCCAAACGCCACCGCTTAGCTCCCCGTTTCCCGGTCATCCCCGATGACGGTGGCATCGCGGACACCTCGTTAGGTTTTTCCCTCTCGAAACGCACCGTATTCCTCCTCGGATCATCCAAAACCAATACCCAAACAGACGTTTCGACTTCCTGGGTAATAAAAATCGAAGATGTGCCAAACAACAGAATTCAGCTTTTGAATCCTCTCTCAAGGTCCCGTTTTGATTCTCTCCCTAATAATTTTCCAAAAGCTTTGAACTTGTTGGATTTTAGGGTTTTTGAATTGGGTGAAGAATATGTGCTTCATTATTTAAATCACCTTGGTTATCTAGGTGATGTGGGAAACTTGTACATGGAAAAAGTTGTCTTGACTTGTTTAGATAATAATGTTAATGATTTTGTTTTACTGACAATTCATGTTTCTGGGAAATTAGCAATGTTTAAGTCTAGTGATAAAAAATGGACTATAATTCAAGACATGCCATCTCCTTATGATGATGTGATATTGCATGGAGGGAACTTTTATGCTGTTGATAACACTGGAAGGACTGTGCTTGTGGGATTGGATTTTGAGGTTAGTGTGGTTGGGGTGCCTGTGTTTGGTGGTGACAAGAAGTTTTTGGTTGAGTCAAAGGGTGAGTTATTGTTGGTTGATATGTATTTGGGTATTGAAGCTGAGGAGGGTTCTTATTCATGGGCGGGTTCCGGCTTTGTTGAGGAGTATTTTGCGAATCTTGCTTTCTATATGAATGAAAGGACAGTTAGGTTTAAGGTTTTTAAGTTGGATGAAGTTGGTAAGGAGTGGGTTGAGGTTAAGAATTTGGATGATCGTGTGTTGTTTTTGGGTGATGATTGTACCTTTGCTGCCTCAGTAGAAGATTTGTCTGTGTGTAGAGGAAACTGCATAATTTTTGTGGATAATTTCTTTTATTCACTTGGGGCAGAAGATGGACCATCAGAGCGTTGTGATGTAGGCGTATTTGATTTGGAAAATGGTTCGATAGGACCATTACAGAAGTTTCCTCAATTTTCCAAGCTGTTTTGGCCTCCACCTTCTTGGATTTCCTCGACAACATTGGATGTAAGTATTTTACTTTGCATTGTTGAAATTTTGGTTGAGTTTTTATTTACTTTCCATTCCCTATGCTGTGCAATTTTAATGAGGATTCTTTAAGCATTGGATCTCCTGAGTTAAGAGGAAACATGGAAAGAACAAGCTCAAAATCATGATCAACTCCTTGAAAATGCTTTTCTATCTCATGTCCTGTTATGTGAGTGCCGTTTCTTTTAAGTTATAGACAGATAGTTAAATATCAATTTATTTTCTAAAATGGAGGAAAGCACAGACTTAATGGTGTGGCCTTGTTAGTTTGAAGCTATGTCTTGAAATGGTCGCCATTGATTCTATGCATCTAGTGTTAACTTACTGAAAAGGCCAAAGAGAAGTCTTAATGTCAGATGACTCTTGAGTAGCCGCACTTAAATAGATTGTGGATTTCTTTCATATGTCTCCCAAGGCATAGGCACTACTCTAACATTTCAAGATTGTTTACTTTGATTTTGGGTTGCAACTTGGATCCAAACTCCACTTTGGATTATTGTGGTACTGAAAGGTCAAGTCAGAAATGCACATTTTTCATGTTATTGCATTGACTGTGAATGGGATATTTGCCTCTTGTAACTAGTATTCATGCTGTAAATTTGTACTATTTACCAAGATTATCTTTCAATTCAGTCTTATGTGTAACAGCATGTTTAAAGCTGATTTGGTGAATGCAACAGGCACAAATAAACACTGGAGAATCGGCCTAGTACATATTGTACTTCTGCTTCATGGTTGGGTTTTATTTGCCTGATTAGCTAGCTATGATTGCATTTTGTATATGCATTTGCAATTTGAAGTCTTTGGCTGCTATTTGACCACATCTAGCCAACAATCTCTCTTTATTTGGATTCTCTGCTGGATGGGCAACAGAAGTGGCTACCATGATAAGAAAAGCTTTTGATCTGTAGAGAGTTCAATCAGGTAATAGTTTCACTGTTCCCTCATGAAGGCCCGACTAAGACATTTAGGGTCAATAATTTCACTTGCCAATGGTGATTCTTTTTTTCTTTTAGTTTCTAGGTTCCTAGCACAGATGCCTTGAGCTACTTGTAATTCAGTATGTCTTGATTGTTATTTTCTTCCCGGATAACATTTAGGCTCTATCTTTTCCCCTGTGTCATCTTTACATACAAATACTTTTGTGCAGACTTTGTTTCACTGGGAATTTATTATTTAAGGATTTTAAGAATTGATATAATGTTTGGCAATAGTAAGCAGCTGAGAATGTGAAAGTATAGCAGTAATAAAACAAGTACACAGCCTGTCTGCTCTTCATGGCGTTCCTCTTTTCCACCCAAAGTTTACCCTTTACCCAGATGGCTCCTATCAGAAACCAGAGGTAGGTGTGATTACTCCCTCGGCCATATTACCAGAATCACCTTTTACTTTGTTAGATTCCCTGGGGCTAACCAAACAGCTCCTGCTTGCTGGTTGTCAATATCAGAAAAGGTGACTACCGTTGCAAGATGAAGCATCTTTCAGATTCCGAGTTGAAACCTCTTCTGGTATAATTTCCAAAGGCATTGGATTTGACAAACTTTCAATTCATTGAATTGGGTAATGAATTTGTTGGTCAATATAGTAAATATAATCTTGATGATTAGAGCCTCAACCCCATGAATACAGAGAGAAAGTTGCCTTCATTTGGTCAAGTACCAATCTTTGTGGATGGTTTTCATATCCATCAGGATATCATTTGCTTTAACAGGAAGTTCTATGCCATCCCGCGGGAAGGAAGAACTATAGTCATTGACCAATCTTTAAACGTTAGTTTCCTATAACCTGTTGGCTCTCCCTCTAGCAGAGGGTTCTTGGTTCAGTCTGGTGATAAAACTTCAGATTCTGCTGCTGACAAGCCCGTGAGATATGGTAGCTCTGTGGTTGGTTTTAGAATTTTCAGGATAAATGAATAAGAGCATAAGTGGGATGAGATGGAAAGTTTGGGGGATCAAATGTTGTATCAGGGCTTGCATCAAAGCAATTTCTGCATCAGCTTCTGAATTTTATTGGGGTAAAGGAAACCTCATAATCTATTCGGCTGGTCTCTCCATCCCTCCAAGATATGGTTATTCTGAAGATCGACTTATATTTGTGTTTGATTTAGAAACTTTAGAGAACTGCCCTGCCACTGTAACTTGTTCTGACCACCTCCTGAGTGGGTTCCAAGCAACCCTAAGCCCTCTTGGCTAGTTAACCTTTTCCGAGCCACATATTGTTTTGGTCCGAGTAAATTGCCCGCTTGAATGATAGCTGGTGGTCAAGTGCACTCTGTAAATCAATGAAACTGGCTAGGAAAATTCAACGTAAAAAGGACAATAGAATACTTTTAATGAACAGCATTAGTAGCAATTTTGCTTAAAGCATAATCTTCTTCCCTTTACTAACACGATTTGAAAACCAAAAACTTCGATACTGATATTCCTACTTCTAAGAAATATACAAGATTAGATCATAGATTTCTGTTAACCTGTCAGCCACCAACCCGACGAAACTGTGTAACTTCTTTTTCTACTATCCATAGAACACGACAGCTTTATCTCAGATAGGATCATGAATCATTGATTTCAAGTCTCTCTCAGGAGCATTTTCAGAAACTCCTCTTGTATTAAGGCTCCCCGTATATGACCACACCCTCTCAAATTCAACCGCACATGGTTTTTCTGATTTCCAGTCAGGTTCCTCCTTAGGACCACCGTTTCTGCTCAAGTAGGAAGGTGCCCTTCCTGGGCTTCCAGTGAGTGGAGTTGAAGAACAGAAGGTTGGTGTTGCGAAAGGAGAGGCATAAGGAGTGTGCTGAATTGAGAAGGGACTCGGAGACATTCGCCTCTGGATTGGAAGCCCACTCAAACCGCTCCTGCTGAATAGGGAGATTGTTTCGGCCGTAGCAGCACAGCGCTTTATAGCATCGTCAACATAAAGGACATCATCTATTCTTGCCATAATGTTGAAGGCCAAACTCTCCATCACCCTCGAGTAGCTCTCTAGAATTGATTGCCCAACATCCTGCAATTAAAAGATAATATAAGGGGGCTTATTTTCAGTGTTGTTTGCTAAGGTCTTCTCCATAAAACAATAAGGATAACAAACCGCAAATATGCCAGCATTGTGGGAACCACTGCCTACAATATGTACCAACTGGTAGAAGAGATTCGCCTTTCACTTTAATAAGAGAGATTAACAAAACATGATAACGTTAATTGTTAATTCACTCATCATAGGCCCCATTTTCCCGATTAAAAAGCTGTGGTCCCAGATAATGGATTGAACACATTTGTAAAGATACAGAGAAGCAACATAAGTTGGATCTATCCTCACTAGCTAACCAAGCAGCTCTCAAATCACATTTAGTAGGCCACATGGTTTGGCAGACGCATGCTAGAATAATTCTCTGATGATAGTGGATAATATAGAAAATTCATACTTCTGTTTTCATTTTTTTTTCCATAAAAAATAGGTGAAAATACCTTATTATATTGAATTTTGTTCATATCCAATGCTGTCTGTGGAAGACCAGGAAAACGAAGCCTCAAGCTATTTAAGAGGATCTCAGCTCTTTGGGCAAGAAAATTATTCTTTTCACTGTCAGCAACAAGACCCTTGACCTTTCCACCCCACGATGAGCGCCTAACTTTCATTTGATTGATGTGTTTCTTTTGATCTTTCTGCTTCCAAACATGTACTGCTGCCTCAATCCTGCTAGCTATTTCCAGAGTGTGATGTTCTGTTGACAGATCAAGGCAATCAAGGAGACATTCTGGCGAGAATTGATCAGCTGTTACATAGCGGTAGATGGTATCTCCTAAACAAGCTTTTCCATTCTGATTATGACAATTAGACATCAAATGGCAAGGAAAATTTGTTAAAACTTAGATCAAATGTAAGAGAAGCTACGCTCAAAAACAGTCAGTTCACAATAACTGTCAGAGAGTCAATTTTCAACTACTATTCAATGCTACATGAAAATGCTGCTGTCATTTTGACATTCGTGTATGTCCATTCCCTTCCAAAGCTATTGTTAACTTTTCAATCCTACTTTGAGCACCTTCCTCAACTAACAGGTTTCCTGATAGAGATGCTCATTAGGAAACTATTAATCCCCAAATTGACAGATCAATGTTGAGTACCAACCATTAACATCCAAGAATTATTACCCAATGAACAGAATCAATGCATGATGGCTAATGTGGTTTTCAGCAAGACAGAATAAAATACAAGTCATTATTTGAGAAACATAGTCACATACCTTTGGTAAGGTCTCCAGGTACGCAGTAGGTATCTCCATCTCTGCGAGCACACTGCTATTAATCGCCATAGCTGCCTTCAGTATTTGGTTAGTGCAATCCCTACATTGCTGCAACTTCTTCCTTGCATCCTCTGACAAACCATTTGGTGGCACTTTTGGACATGGCAACCACCACTTCTCTTCCTGCCTAATCGAGGGCCTCCCTCCAGAAACAAACGACGGATAAGCATGACGGTCAGCACCATCACCCACAACTATTCCCCGATCAACATACCAAAACTCTGTTTCACGAAACGCATCAAGCATGGTAATCAACATTGCATCAAGCTTCTTAAGGGCAGGAAGATTTATATACAAATCTGAACGTGGCCTTGTCGCCATAACTTCATATGTGCCTCCTCCAGGGAATTGTTGTATCGATGGTACAAGTTCAACAATCGAATCGCTCACACACAAGAGCCACTCCATTTCTCTCCTCCACATTGCCTTCTTTTGTGGTGCTAATGGCTCTAACCTCCACAACTCACCAAAGACGGTTGCTGCCATTACAAACGAGTGTACCATTTAGCTTAAAAGAAAATCTTTAGAACCCATACACATACGTAGTACAAGAAATCATAAACAAAACCACACCAACCAGAGAGATTTGTGATTGCATTCGAAATGGCAAGTGCAGTACACACTCCTTTCCCACCTCCAGACATATCTTCTCCTAAAAGAAGCTTGGCAAATCTCTCTTTCATCATCTCAACTTCTATATATCGTTGAAAACATTACAAAAATCAGTGAAAATAAAGATTAAAAATCACCACCACCAACAACAACATACTAAGCCTTAAATCCTATAACTCTAGCATAGGCTATATGAAAGGCCAAAAAAAAGAATTATGTTAGGTCGTAGGTTTTAATCATCTTGCGCTACTCATTTCTATCAACAACAAACTTTTCATCTACTTTCCTAACTCTCATATCATTTGTTATTACTTGTTATTATTTGCATCCTCGTCTTTCATGGTCTACTTCTAAAAGTTTTGGTCTTTCCGAAATCTAGAAACTCAATTCTTCTAACTAGTGTATAGCTAAACCTACGCTTCTCATGTCCAAATCATCTCAAATGGCCTTCTCTCATCTTTTCCTCATTTCGAACCATCCCAAATCACCGAATTAGGGTAAAAAATGATGAATAATAATAATAATATCAAGTAGATTAATCTCTTCCATACTGTCATTTGATTTTTTTTTTTTACAATTTTCATTTTTGCAATTATTAGGCACAGGAAATATCATAATTACGTTTTTTTTTTTTTTTTTTGCTACAAATAGAAACAACAAAAATTATTTCGCTCAGAAATATACTAAGCATAAATCTCCTTCTCGCATCCCCCATTAAGCAAAAAATACCAAAATAAACAACGAAAATGGAAATACCAGACAAATCGGTGACCGGTTTCTCAGGCTTCTCATCATCCCAAATCACGGCATCCTTCCCTCCAATCACCGGCAACATCAACGGTACCTGAAAATCGAACCCTCCAGCAGCCCGTAACCTCGGAGACGACGTCATCGAACTCGAACAACCTTCTCCGTCGAACCGCCGGCAGGAATAGCTGCTACAACTCTCGGACTCGCTGACGTCAGCGCTCAAGCTATAACTCCCGCACCGGTCGCTCTGCTGGTCAGAGCCATCATCAGAAGCTACACTCCCCATGATCTTTAATCACGAGATCCAACGGCCAAAAACAAATCCCTCAGCCACACATTTGCTAACAATAAGAGAAGTGAAATGATTGATTGGAAATTCAGAATTAGAAGCAGAAGAAGAAGAGAAATAAAGTGAAAGAGATGAGAAATCTTTCACATTGTCTCATTATTAATTTTCTTTTTCTCAGCTTTCTTTCTTTATAAGTACTGAAACTTTTTTCCTTCGGTTTCTCTTTATAAAATTGTTGTTACTGTTTTCTGGCACTGATGATGTTTTTTGTGTGCTGAAGCAAAAGAGACGGCGTTGCGCAGTGGTTGTCTTTCCGTTACAGCTTGACCTTACCACCCGACACGGACCCCTTCCTTTGGACTTTCCATGTTTCCTCTTTATCCTATTCCTCCATTGCCACCGTGGCCTTTTTCATGATGTGGCTAAATTTCTTTCCCACGTGGCAGAATTATGACCATTCACCGTACTTACAGAAATTAGTACATCCTAAGGAGAAAAAAATAAAAAAATAAAAAACTGATTTAAAATCATAATATTTTATTTAATACGGATCAATTTTTTTATTTAATTTGAATTAAATTTAGATGTTATATATATATTAGATTTGAATTAAATTTTAGATAAAAAAATAAATAAAGTTATATATTTTTATTAATTTTTATATATATTTTAGATTTTTATAAAATAAAAATAATTATTTTTTATTTAAATTTATTTAAATAGTTTAAAATAATATATAAAAATTACTAAATTATTAAATTCAATTCATACTATAAATTTTTTATTTGAATCTAAATCAAATTTAAAAATATATAATATTATATATTCTTAAAAAATCAAATTAAATTTAATTCAAACTATTAACATTTTTAATATATTCTCTCTAATTAATTTAAATATATTTATTTACAATAAATCTAATTAAATTATAATCTTTTAATAGATTTGAGTTTATATAAAAAATTTTATCACTTGAATCAAACATATGATAGTTTGATTTATCGAAACTTAAATGCCGTAGGAAGGTTTTTCGTTATTACTAGGGAAGGTTTATAAAATAAGAGTTTACTCGTTTTCACTTTTTCCTATTTTTCCGCTTGCCACGGTGGAATTTTTAAGAATGACATGGCCAAATTTCTCCCCTGCGTGGCTCGAATTTGCTTGCGTGGATGGGATGGTGTGGGACCCAGCTGTTGATTTTGGAGGGAATGGCTCGTGAAAGGGACCAAACGGCCGTTAGTATTTTTGCCGGGTGGAGTGAAGATTAGAAAGCGGACGTTTATATTTCAAAAACCGTGAGCTCGCATCCCTAGCTTGGATCGATTGGAAAATTAATGTGGATTAGGAAGTTTGGGATCTTAACCGTTGACAACAAAGTGGGACCCTCGTGTTATTTAACGGTTGGGATCTGATGAATGAAAAGAATCTTTAGCGGCTTAAAGCCTGGCATGGTGTGGAAAATAAGTAAACGATGTCGGATTTGTTTACGTCTACAACCGATTCCATGTTTTCAAATTTAAACACGCCGTACATCAGCAGCTGATATCAACAAAAAGTAGCTCTTTTCCACACGTGGAACTCTCTTAGTTGTCTGATTCCATCAAAGCAGATTTCCGTTTGCGTCATTAAAATCTTTGGGTTTAGGTCAAGTTCGGATCGGATGGCAGAGATCAGAGCCATCAATATAAGACCCACGTGCATGTTAAAGATTAAAGCTGTAGAGAGAAATTATATTGTCCCTTACTGACCGAGGACCACATTGATAGCGAATGGAGTTTCACGTACGTGATTGCGCTGAGGCTTACAAAAACATCATAGGTCGGCTGGTCGCGTATTAGTATGAATTTGATACATGATGTTTTAATAGTATGCCAAGAGAAGAAATGATTAGCTCAGTTCATCCATTTTTTTTAAAACAGCGTTATTTAACAATTTAGATTTTAATTTTAATTTTTATAATATTTTTTATTTTAAAATTATGATATTTTTCGTATATCTAATTAGCTTATTTTGCCATTACACTACACTTCCTATCCTTCACGTTTAGTTTTAGTCTAAGTTTTCATATATAGTTAAAAACTAGCTTTTAAATCTCATTCATAAAAGTATAAATAATATATTAATATTCGTAAATTATTTAAATTTAATTTAAATAAATTTAAAATTTAATTCGATTATTATTGAATCGAATTTAAGTTCGAATAATTTAACTTATTGATAGAATCGAATTCAAATATTTTTTATATTTAATTTAAATAATTCACGAGTTCAATCAAATTTTTTATATTTTAATATATTTTAATTGATAAAATATCTCAAACTGTAATATAAATAAATCAAATTTTTATCAAATATAATAATCGAATTTATTTTTATATGTTAATTAAGTGAGTTTGAATAGTTCAATTTTTATATTGAGTCGAATTTGAATTAAAAAAATAAAATTTGATTGAGTTTAAGTCAAATTTTGAATCTCAAATTTAAAATTAAATTCAAACTTAATACTGTATCAGTTTAAATTTGATTCATTATATCTCTACCCATATACATGCTTTTGGAAACTTTCCTTTTTCCAAATTAATAGCTGTTAGAGAGGGAGAAAAGAAGGAATAATGAGCAAATAATGTATGATAGAGGAGAAGAAAATGTGGGGAGAAAGTGAGGAAACGGTTAATGGGACAAAAAGTGGAGTTAAATAATGAAAATATTAAAGAATATAAGTGCTATATTTGAAATGAGAGTTAATTTTTTCTTTTACCATTTTGGTTTGGTAGCTTGAATATGATTGCGTTATACTCTAGAAATATTTTTGTTGGCTAAGATCGCTATTGAAGCCTTCATGCTAAATGTGGTATGATTGAAAGTTGAAACCAATTTTATAAATTTCTCCGAGAGGAGTTATTTATTTTTATTAATGTAATTTTTATATTTAAAAAATTAAAATTATGACATATTTAAATTAAAGTAATATTTTTAAATTTAATAATTTTGATCAAATAATTCATTAATATAAAGTGGATTCATATTCTTTCTCTAATTTTAACATTTGAAACTTATAAATAAAATAAAATTTTTCGTAGGTTCGAGGTTGGGTCGAGTTTGAGAGAAAAAAAATATGATAAAATATTTATATGCTAAAAAAATTATATCAATAATTTATATGATAAAAAATTGATACACCGTCAATTTAACTGTAATTTGGTAACAAGATACTTTATATTCCAAAAAGTACAAATATTAGATTTATATAAACTATTATGCAGAGATTAAATTTTTGACTTTGTTACAAATGGGGACCAATCTCGTAATTTTGACAAAAACAATACATCAAACCTTACTTAACTCAAGCCCGAAAGGATTGTGGGCTAAGGCATGCGAAATCGTCTAGGCCCAATCACTTTTTTCAAGAGATGCCGAAGAAGATGGGCGTGAACAGAAAAGCCGAGGCGCTTGAACAGATTATCAAGTTGGAGTCAGTAATTAATTTCCTTGTTTTGTTTTGTCTTTTATGAAATCATCCAAGCAGGCCAATCTAAATCTGACCCAATGGTTTAGCTCAGTTTCCCAGCCTTTTGCAGATTGGCCCATCATTTGTTAAAATAATTCTCGTGGACGACATCAAAGCCAATCAATGCAATAAGCAAGACCAATGGTCCAATTTTATTGTTCTAGTCGCAAAAAGACAACCGAAAGAAAAATGGATGGCGTTTCTTATCCCAAAGTCTCTCCTTCTCCAGATTACACCCGACATGGCAATGGCAACGCCACTTCACTTTTGGTTTTCTAACTCTTCAAACTCACTTTCCTTATACCACGCTCAATCTGAAACAACATGGAAACTCTCTTTGTAAACCAAACTCTACTGTCTCGTCTCGATCTTTCCCCAAAACCGAAAGTCCCATTTTCTGTCACTCCCCAAACCCTCCAGTTCCTTCCTAGGACAACAACTCACGTCAAACCCAACAAAAGTTTTGGTGTCTTTGCTGTCCAAAACCAAGAAAAGAACTTCCAAGAAAGAGGGAACACAGTCCAAGCAAACATTAGCTATGAACCGGATGAATCCTTTGGTGAAGTCAGCAAAATCATCGGCAGCAGAGCTCTCCCAGGTGGGAAAGGCATGGAATACTTGATAGAGTGGAAAGACGGTCATACCCCTTCATGGGTTCCACAAGATTTCATAGCCAAGGATGTGGTGGCAGAATACGAAACCCCATGGTGGACAGCGGCTAAGAAAGCTGACGAGAAGGCTTTGGCAGAACTTTTAGCAGCTGAGGAAGATTGGCGTGACGTGGATGCTGTAGACCCAGATGGCAGAACTGCCCTTCTCTTTGTATCAGGCCTTGGCTCGGAGCCATGTGTTAAGATCCTTGCTGAAGCTGGAGCTGATATTGATCATCGTGATAATGCCGGTGGGTTAACGGCTCTTCACATGGCAGCAGGGTATGTGAAACCTGGTGTAGCTAAATTGTTGTTGGATCTCGGTGCGGATCCTGAAGTGGAAGATGATAGGGGTTTGACATCATTAGCTTTAGCCAAGGAGATACTAAAGGTGACCCCCAAAGGGAACCCAATGCAATTTGGAAGAAGATTGGGGCTTGAAAGTGTAATAAAGATTTTAGAGGAGTCAATATTTGAGTATGCGGAGGTGCAGGAGATATTGGAGAAAAGGGGGAAAGGTGAAAACTTGGAGTATTTGGTAAAATGGAGAGATGGTAGTGATAATGAGTGGGTTAAAGCAAGGTTTGTAGCTGAGGATTTGGTGAGGGACTTTGAGGCAGGGTTAGAGTATGCTGTGGCTGAAGGGGTTTTTGGGAAAAGAATGGGGGACAATGGCAAGAATGAGTATCTTGTGAAATGGACGGATATAGAGGAGGCAACTTGGGAGCCTGAGGAGAATGTTGATCCTGATTTGATAAAGGAGTTTGAAGCAGGACAGATTGAGGGGAATGGGGCTGTCAAGAACCAACCAAGTTTGGATGCCTCGGGACAAATTGATGGAAATGGTGCTGTGAAGAACCAATCAAGTGTAGATGGTTCATGAATCTCATCCTATACAATTTTCATGTTGTAATCTTCTTTTCTTAATGAGGATTGTTTTGATTGAAAATGGGATTATAATTGTAGAGTTGTTCAAATCTGTGGTCCTAATTATCACATACTCGAGATTGGAAGGAGAATTAATATAGCTAGGTTGTTTTTGATTCTCATCCTTAAATGCATGTCTAAACTCCTGAAAAGTCTTAACCAGCAGGCAGTTCTTTCTCTTACAATTTAGACTATTGAGAACCGATATGTTTGAACAATACAATTCTACATTGTCATGGTGGCAGTTAAGAACATAAATTGGAAGGTTAAAAAGCACATTGATCGAACCAATCACTAGTCAGAGAGATTCAATCTTAAAACGACATGATGCCATGATAGAATCCCCTTCTGCTCATCGTCCAAATGAAGCATATGCCATTCGAGTTTAAAGATCTTAGCCCAAGAAGATTGGTCCAATGCGGTTGGATTTTGGATCTTTACTCTCAACATTTTCATTTGTCAGGTTGGATAAAAATATGGTTGGCTTTTGGGTGGTCACTCAATTGGGCTTTATACAATCAGTTTTCTTTCTTAACCCAAGTGCTCAAGCATGAGCAAGACTTATAGGTGAAGATTAAAGGTGCCAATGGGAAGGAAAAGATTCAAAAATGAAAACATGAACGCAATTTTGTATTAGAAGCCTTGTCAAATTGTTATAGCAGTGCCTCTGTCTGCACCTAACATTCGTGAAGAGATCAAGCGCTAATTTCCCAAGAATTCCAGGAAGGAGATGTCAAATGACTGATACAACAACAGAAATACCAAATAAAGACTCCCAAAGCACAAGAGACAATTGGAGGGAGCTCATAAAGACAATGCAAACACAAAGACAACATGCATTCATGAAACATATTGTTATCAAGTTTAACTTCACTTTTCCTTAGCCTTATCCTCTTCAGTCTTGTGTCCATGGTATCCGGGTATCTTCTCCTTGATTTTCTCCAAGATTCCCTTCTCCTTTGGCTCACCTTCAGCAGGATGCCCATCATTGGCACCATCTTCGGCCTTCTTGTGCTGACGAGGGAGTTTTTCTTTTATCTTATCTAAAATGCCTTTCTTCTCCTCTGGATTCTCAGTTGGGATTGATGTGTTCTTATGCTCTGTTGCTTCTTTGTCGCCAGATATCTTTTCTTTGATCTTTTCCTTCAACCCTTTCTTCGCCCTTTTCTTCTCACCATCTTCTCCTTCCTCTCCTTCATCAATGGACTGCAAAAAAAGTTCATAACAACTTGAGCAAAGATCCTTAGTAAAATGCCATTATGATAAAAATGTATGGTGCAGTGACATACATGAAGGTGTCTGCTGGGGCTTTAGAAAGTAAGTTAGGGAGGCTTACTGAGCTAGAGTTGCTATTAGAACGGTGGAGTCTTTCCTTGAGAGTTGGCTTCTCTTCCTCCTTTGTATTGTCCGGCTTGTGGGCATCTGCCATGGTCACATCCTCATCTTTCTTCTTCATGAAATCGAACATACCACGATCTTTTGTTTCCACTGCCTTGTTGTGATCTCCCTCAGCATGATGACCTTCCATGCCTTTGGTGCTAAAACTGAGACGAGTTTTGAATAAACACTTTGTTGCTGGATGTCAACCTGATGTTTTATGTTGAGAAAATGATGTTGTATTTATAGGTGAAACGAAGGAAAACCCAAACTCAAATTAAGGTAACATGGCTTACAAAACAATTGCATGGACATTGTTGTCGGCCCTCGGGGGAAGATAACTGAGGTGGTCGGCATGGATGGTCCACGCTAATCAAGAGATCCTGTGTTAGTAATAGTAGTATGATAACATTAAACTCAACTCTCAAAATGCAACTTGGGCTTTTCAAGGACAATGAGGATCAATGGTGTCTTGGGGGAGTTGCGGGTTGTCTCTTTATTTGGTCTCAAATTAGTACTAACTACCGAGCCAAGCCTATTAACGAGGTGCCTGTTCTGTTTTGTCTCTCAAATGGAGAGAAACAAATAGATTTCTGCTTTTGGGTCAAGGGTCCATGAAGGATTCCAAGCTTCTCTGTTAGGGCGATCAACAACACATAGGGCCAAATCATTTCTAATAAGCCCATCCGACCCAGCCGTCAGAGTTGAACTTGAACCATCCAGAAGGCAAGATGCACTGATGCTGATGCAGGCATCAACATGCAAACTTGAGTGGAACGTTGCATGACTTCGAAGGAACAACTCAGTAATCTTTCATGTTTCCATCAGAAACATGACTGTAGCTCGCTCCATTATTTTTTGACATACATGTAATCACCTTGCATTTATAAATTACAAATATGAGTTTTTCAATAAAGGCAACAAATGGCAACGATTTGGCCGGGGTTTATTAGTGGAAGAAATCCAAATGAGATACGATTAAGATTTAAGAAAATTTCAGTGATAGAGCAAATTCTACTGACATAATCATCACTGTGAAAATTGCAAGCTTTTGACTTATAACACTGTCGAAAATTTACATTGGGCTGTTCATGATTCATGAACTTGTTTCAATTCATGAACAGAAAAGACATCATTTTTGCACCCACTAAAAACCCCAAGGCAGAATTCTAGGTTTAGGGCTTTCTGAAAAGTCAAAAGAAGCCATTACCTGGAGTTGCTACAAATGCGGTTGGGATTGCACTACAATGCATAATGATGCATTCTTGGTCTAATCGTAAGCCATTTCTTTGCCTTGCAATAAACGAGTTGGCAATGCAATTGGGGAAATGCATGTGATTTTGAAAAGGTTGTACTCCATTATTTAGAACATTTCAAAGGCATATTATCTAAGTTCATATTATTGGATTATGAACATGATATTGAGGAATTGTTCTAATTTTTAGGTGAACTTTCAATTAGAAAAGAAAAAGTGGACACTAAGAAATCACTGACACTACTTTTTGCATCATGCATATTCATGGTGGTCCATTTGTCAGCATGACTTTTCAAGCAGTGCGCATTCTACAACTGAAGTTCTGATGTTCAATGGTGATGATTATCATGTAGAAGGTAAATAAAAAGAATTTATTCATAAATATACACATGACTCGATCTTTCTTGCTCCGACTGCATATTTTTCTTTTTTTCTTTTGAATCTGTCATTAAGGCCTGAAGAAGTTGGCATTTAAGCCTTTGTCAGCCAAGTTCCATACAGCAGCAACTACTAACAAAATGCTCAGCACAATGCCAAAGCAACCAAGTCCCAAGTTCAGACTCCACATGGCACCATTTGCCCGAGGTCTTTTGATTGAAATCCACATGAAACATGGATAAGCAAACGTCAAAGGTACTGCTGCCATCCCTCCAACAACAGGTGCCAAGCTTCCCAAGAAGGGAAAAGCCACAGCTATGAAGAATGTGAATCCTCCAAAGAAAAGGCGTAATCCTGCCCGAACCCACCCTGGACATCGCCTTTTTTTAATGGTGACATAAATGAATTGTAAGTTGTCGAAAACAGGCATCGCATAGATTTGGTATGAACTCAAGCAACTTATAATTAGCAATAAGTAGATTAGGCCTATCACAAATTTTGAAGTGTCTTGTCTGTGAAATTGTGAAAATGCAGTTAGAATCCCTCCATTTGCAGGAATCTGGAAGCAATGGAAGGAAACTGTTAACAACATTAACAAATTAAATACTGCCAATTGAGGGAATACTTGCTTACCTTGTTTCCATAAGCCCAAAATCCAGCTATAGCAAGTGGAAATAAACACGTTGCTATTATTATGTATGACACCATTACTCCTCTCCACATAGACTTCCGAGATGGGTGGTTTGAACTCGAAGTCGAAGGCAATGTCCCCTGCATCAACAAGTAAACACAATTAATTCCATGAAAGAACATTATTTGTTGTTCATGTCTGTAAAGGTAGCCTTTTAAAAGTGTAAACTTGATAATCATGAATGTGCTGATTAGTATGGGAAGATCTTTCTTTCATTCTTGTTAGGGTTAATATGTAATTTTTTCTTTGAACCATACAACTTTTTACAATTTGATATTTATAGAAAAAAAAATTCATGATACCTAACTTCTATTCTATCATGTCATTTGCTTTAAACATCAATTCCATTTTACCTAATACATTTGGTTAATAGTACAAATTGCTTGATAAAAAAAACGTTAGAGTGTTAAATTGTGAAAAACGATATAATTCATACACCAATTTACATATAGTGATGATAACAGGACGGGTTTTTTTCATTACGAATTCGACTTGATTTTATAAAATAAATATTCAAACTTAATCCGATATTAAAACATTATTTTTTCATATTTAACCCGACTTATATATATATATATATAAAATCGTAACTTTGATTTGATTGAAATTAATTTAATAATTTTAATTTAATATAATATTTATAAATTATTATTTTTAATATAAATTATATCTTAATTATATATAAATATAATATTTTTATTAAGTTAATATCTTAAATTAAAATATTACATAATAATTTTATTAATAAAATACATATATATATATAAATATAAAATTAAATAAATAATTTTTTTTTTTTTTACATATACTCCGAACAGATTTCAATTTTATTTAAAAAAAATCGACCTGACACAAAACACAATTAAAAAAACAATCCAATCTTATAGGATCGAAACAAGTTAAAATCCGATGAGTTAGGGTATTATCGCCAACCCTATTTACACGTTAACCTTTTCTTGTTAATATCGCTTCAATCTAGTTTACATGACGAAGAGTTTTTTCAATAAACAGGACTAAAAAAGTTATAGTAAAGATTATTCACCTGTATCTCAAGAATAAGATTGTGACCTTTGAATGCAAGCATAATGATGCCAATGGCATTCAAGATGTTACCAAATCCAGTCATACCAGTTTCTGCATCATTTGGTCTGCTGTAAGAAACAGCATTAAGCCTACCCTTGCTGATTGATAGAACCCATATCAAAGTACAGTATCCAATCGCAGCAATGGCACCAATTAGGGAGACTCTAGCTATTGAATTTAAATTGGGTAACTGACCAATGATAAGAGCTGCGCAAGTAAATATGAGAAACCATTCTGTACCAGTCAATGACTTGGATTCACAACTGGTCCCTTCCCTACAGAAGATCTTGAAAAGTTTTTCCATGGTCCCTCCTCCTGTGATTATGAGCAAAACACAATAGCCTCCTGATAGATACATAGCTGGGAAGATTGCCACCAACTTCCCAAGCTTTTGACCTGGGATAGGTTCAGAAAAGAAGATTTTAGTCATTTGGGCACAATCAATGGTAGGTTTTTGACTTGGGTTTTTGTTTTAGACACCAACCAAAAGCAAAGATCGAGAGGCGGACGAGTCTGCTGTAGCGGGTTCCAGGAACAGGTTCATGAAGATTGACAAGAAGCCATATAGTGTAGAGTTGCCACATGAATGCAATGGACAAACATATGATCCCCCATGCCCTACAGCAATCGAAAATTGTATGAAATCTTAAGCGACAAGAAAAAGAAAAAAATAACCTTTTGCTTCGAAGTTATTCTTTTGATTTTTTTATTGGTCAAAAAAGGAAAAGCAATTATATTGTGATAACAGAAAAAAAAAAGGCCATGATCAGGATGTAATATGAACGTTTCTACTTGCTCTAATGCTGTTTGAATTAGCAAGGGTGGTTAAAAATAAGCCGGAGTTGGGAGAGTTTAAAATTTAGTTTTAATTGAATTAATCGATCAATTTAATTTGGTTAATAGTTAAGATACTAAATCAATTTCGATTGATTATTAAAAATAATTTTAAAGAATATTAATTTTTTATTAGCAAACTGAAACTTTTATTGAAATATAAAAAAACCTAATACAAAGCTAAAAATACATGAAATGATTATTTTATTTTATAATTTATTAAAGTTTTTAATTTAATATTTTAATATTTGAATGTTTCGTTAGATAATTTCATTTAATTTGTTTTAAATATGAGAAATTAAGAATTTAAACTATAATTTAATTTAAATATATTTTATTATTCGATTAATAAAATAATTGATTGAACCAATAAATTAAATTTAACCGGTTAATTTTTAAAATTAATAATTAATTCTATTGGATTAGATTAATGAAAATAAAATAATATAATTCAATTCAAAATTAATAAAATTGATTGAATGAATATTATGGATGGCAATGAGTCAAGAATCAGCCACAAACCCAATCTAATTTTGTAAACTTAATGTTCGAACTTGATCTGATTTGATATTAAAATATTATTTTTATATTCGATTCAATTCAATATGAAATTAATAAAATATTAAATTTAAAATATTAATTTTTTAAATATAAATATAAAATTAAATAAATATATAAATATATATAAAAATATAAATATAAAATTAAAAAAGTAAAAAAATAATATACATAAATATATCAAATTGGATCGAGATAAATTTACATAAAATTCGATCTCAATTTATTTTTTTCAAAAATACTTAGACTTGACTTAACCATAAATCCAATTTTCATAAAAAAAAAAAAATCCTAAAAGATTCGATCATGTCAGCGGGTATTAGTAGGATTGCCAACCCTAATGAACACTACTCACTGGACTTATCTAGTCTAGTTCTCACTTAGTCCCAAATGGCAGTACCAGCAAAACTTGAACGGTAGAATTCATTTAGGTAATTTTTTTTCACCTTTATTGCGGTTTAACCGACACTATTTGAGTTTTACAAAGCAAAAGAAGAGAGAATATACTCATTTTTGGAGAAAAGAGAATAGGCATGCAATAGTAGTTTTCAAGAGTAGGATTCAGTCATTACAAACTCACCATCCAAGAGCTGCAAAAGCGACAGGAAGCAAAAGGGCCTGGTACCCTATACCTGAACACAAAAGATGGCACGTTGCAGAGAATGTGTTGCCATTTCTCGACTCGGTAATAGGCAGCCAAGATTCAAGTTCCCTAAGACTGATGCCCTGACCCGAACGTTGTGACGTGGTGGTGCAACCATCAGAATTATTGCACGCAGTAACTCCAGGCGTCTCCTTAATAGAGCTGGATCTGACCGTGATGATTTGCAGTGGCTCTTGCGTTGAATCGTCTTCAATGGGTACTACTTCTCCCATGAGTCTTGGCTAGCTTCTTACCCTTTTGATTCAAAAACGACGAAAGCTGCGAATAAAACTTGTTGCTTGAGTTTATATAAGAAACAGTGTTGACCATAGGAAAAATGACGCAATGCCTGACCTAGACATGCAAAATCTGCCAAACCCGGAAATCAACATTAAGTCCTGGATTTCTGCAGTTCATGTCAGGAATGAATGACGACATATTTTGACTCTTCAACTTTTGTTAGGAATGAGAAAAAAAATAAAAAATATTAAAAATTATTTGAAATTGTTTCGTTTAGTTTGAATTGATTTTTTTATTTCATTTGATTCAAATTTAAATATTAAATATGTATACTAAATTTAAATAAAATTTTAAATTGAAACGTAAAAAAATTAGAAAAAATACTCAATCTAATTCATATCAATTTTTAATTCGATTTAAATCAAATTTAAATATTAAATATATATATTAAATTTATTTCATATTTTAGATCAAGACGTGAAAAATTAAACAAAATAAATTAAATTGAATTATATATTTTTATTAGTTTTATATATATTTTAAATTTTTATAAAATAAAAGATTTATAAATATTTTAAACTTTTATAAAATAAATTAATTATTTTATATAAAAATCTATTTAAATATATTTAAAATATTATTAAAATAATAAATAAAAAATTTAAAAATTAAATTGAACCGAATTGATAAAATTTAATTTAAATAATATTTTACAAATTTATAATAATATACATTATTTAAAAAAATCGAATCATTATCATTCTTAATTTTCATACATTAAGCATGAAATTGGTATTGTGTTTATATATTGCTAATAAATATGTTTTGAATACTAAGAAATAAAGTATTGTATTTATATATAATTATAGTATTTATATAAAAAATTGTCTGGAAGCTTTTAAAATTTAGAAACACCCTTTCTCGATCAATTTTGAAATGATTTCTTTTGTAATTTGATTTGTTTTGTCTTTGAAAACAATGGTTGGATAGAAACATGAACTGGGAAGTTACCAAATTTGATTTCGATTGAGATTGAAAGTATAATTTTTTATTACTCTTTCGTGGCTGTTGTGGACAAGTTAGGGTAAATTAGTTTTTCAACATGATGCAAAAATAGTTATTCGTTTGATTTTTGCAACAATATCATTCGATGTTTAAGAAAGGGAAGATACCTTCATACGACCATAGCTACAAGGTGTTGAGCATACGAGGGAGATGATATCATCATGCTGATAGTGGGCCTTGACGTTTACTGTTTATTTAGTGACATGATGACGATGCATTATTTTTCTATAGGTGGCAATTTGCCAAATGAACCACACTGTTTATTTATTTTTAGCTTTTTTTATTTTTATTTTGTTTATTTACATAATTTTTTATAAAAATATATTAATACATATTTTTTCAATAAAAAATATTAATTTTAATTAATTTAAAATAATAATTTATATTATTTAATAAAAATTTTATTTACTAAATATATATATAGTACGGGTATAAGATGAATATTATATTATCCGTCCTCATCTCCGTACTCAATAAAAATTTAAAATCATATCCATTCTTATTTTCTTACCCATAATATAACACTTATTTTCATCTTCATTTGAATAAAAAATCAGATTTTTCATTGAATATGGGTAAAATTGACATCTCTATTCAAAAATAATTTCCTTTTTGTTTTGAAAGAAAAAAATGATTTCACTTTGTATAATATATTTTTTTTAGGTTGGCTAGAATGAAATCAAATCATTTTCAAGATTCTACATATGCTTAATTAAGGGTTAATGACTGATTTACAATATTCACCAAAATTGTTGAATTCAGATATTTATTATTTTTGCCAATGAGATATTGTATAAGAAAAAAATTATTAAAATCTTTAAGATTCAAATTTCATCAAATCAAGTATAAGTTTTATCTAATTATATATTAATTTATTGGTTGTTTTAATTTAATTAAAGATTGATTACTACATTGCAACTTTTATTAATACGATAATTTGTAAAAAAAAAATCCATTATTAAACTATAATTTTTAGTCATCAAGTGATCAAAAGAGAAATCGTAACATATTATAAGATTTGGGTTCGAGTTCAAATAATCTAATCTCCATTCTCAATATAAAAAAAAAAAAAATCCATTATTATGTAAATCTTACAAAATTTTTTTTTTGATAAGAAAAACTTGGGTAGATAGGTTATTCAATTTTTCAGATCAAGATAAAATGTGTCGTATATAACAGTTTAAAATAGATGGTTACAAGTCGTACATTTGAAATAACTTCAATAAACGACCACTAATAAGACTCGAACCCAATATTTTTTCATCAAAAAAGACGAACCCTAATTAATTGAGTCAGGGTGAACACTTAACATAATTGAGACATTGAGATTTTAATTAATTAATAACCGTCCATTATGGCATAAATGACTTTGGTAAAACCAATGATGAAAGCAACAATGGTGATGGCAGGCTGTTATTTTTCTTCCCAAAAATAAATACTACTATAAAACATGAAAAATTTTGACACGTTTGTTCAAATGGCTAATTTGGGTAGCACGAATTTGAATACAAGTGTTAAAATACAAATCAATATCGTCTTCCTTAATTTAATAGAGTTTTTTACTAAAAAAAAAAACACAAAAAATGTCTTTCTCATTCTTATTAATTATTATTATTTTCAGAATTTAAAGTGATGATTTTTTTAAATACTTTTTTTATCATGAAATAAAAGAAAGAATTAAAACTACTGAAATTTAAATATAAAATTTGTTGAATTGTATGAACATTTTCTCACTTAAATCTTGTATTCATCAGTGAAGAAGAAATGATATTTTATTGGTTTTGTTTTTCCTTTTGTTTTCAAGTGAATATGTAGGATGGTGTTGTTGATGTTGTGGTATAGATCAAAGGATAATTGCCATGGCAGACAACTACAAATGAAACAAAATCTGGGTCATTCTCATTATATTGCATCCTCATGTACAATGGTGTTGTGTCGTTTACAATATTGGAAAACATGTTTTTTGCTTTAGAAACTCCATATCGGCAACTGTTGGCTTGTTTCTTGTTGATGGAGATACGATAAGGATGAGCAACGGCCAATAACTACAGACATGATCAATGATTTCTCCACTTGTTTACTTGCTTTCCTTTTGATCAGCTCAATTATATATTCCATGATTGCTGCATCACAGGGCCAAGTGGGATCTCCAGTGCTTGGAAGTCCGAACTCTTCTTCTGCCAATTTGAACAACTCCATCACCATTTCGGTCTTCAGATATTCCAGAGGAATCACAAAGCACTTTTCATCAGCGCTATACACCACAAAATGACCCTTCTCGACCATTGATGATGTGCTGCAACTGTTTGTGTCAACATCCCCGGTGGTTCTCGAGAATGTGATTCTTTTTCTCTTAATTGCTGTCAATTTTTGCCAATTTGATAAGCTTCTTTGCACTGATCATCTTGTTTGCTTTTGTAAAACAAGGGAGAATACTTTAAGATTTCAGGCAACTGAAAAGCTTTTGTTTTGCTGCTGTCATGAAAAGGGAAATTGGATGAATATATATATACACAAACGTCCCAAAAGCAGTCCTTTGAATGAAGCAAATCAATTTCGGGACTCAAGGGAGCAAAACAATGTGGTTCGAAATTGAGAGCGATAATTTGGGAGATGGCCAGTTGGGCATGTCTGGAAGGTAATGGAAGTGGTCCAATCTGTTTTTCAACATCAAATTTATTTGGTTTTGGCAGGAAGAAGGCACGTGCAATACCAGGCATCATAGCACCCACATGTTATAGATATATTGCCTTTCAAGAAAAAATCGTGGTTCTAGTTTACTAAACCCTGGATTGATGGGTATAGTAATTTCTGAAACAGGATTTGCCCCCAAAGACTCTACTTACATTGAAACGTCCTTATCTCCAGGCTGTGATGCTTATCTCTAATTGTAATCTACTTCACATTGATCTCTCTGTCAATGGCTCCAAGAGATTGCTCACAGCAGACGTCCCTTTTGAATCGTGGGGGATATGGTAGCATTCTACTTCAATGGTCAGATAATATGCTCCAAAGTTTGTGTATGGTACGTCCTGGTCAATTCATCTGTTTCACTGGATAAATATTATAATTAGTTAGACAGAAAAAAAATCTAATTTCTAACTGAGATGATGTCTTTATGCAACTAAGTTGTTACCCATCTCTGATTTTCACCCCTGCTTGTACAAGTTGAGTCATGAACAAAGGAACAAATCAAACATCAAACATGTATATTAAACTTGGCAGATAAATATTTCTGTTCAATTCCTGTATATTATTTGGTGTGCTCTCCTCCTGTAATACTTACTACTTATATCCTATTCAGTCTTGAGAAAACCCAGCCAATTTGGGGGCCAAACCACTTTGGCTTTCATTTGATAATTTGAATGCTTTAAGTCTTGCTTGTTTGCAATTAAGACAATTTCACCAGGAAAAAAGAAAGGGTTAATCAACGACTGGTTGGAGTATTATTTCTTCAGTATACTATAATAGAGAAGGATTCCAATTTGAATCTTATATATAGTTTTTTTTTTTTGGTACAACTGTTTAGTAACAGTATTGTGCGACATGATAATTGGTCTTTTTTGGTATGAAATTGTTGATGTAATATTGTAGATAAGAAGTGATTGCCCTGTCAAACTCAAGACAACTAAAGATGTGAAACAAACATTATAACTTTATAATCTGAAAAGGTGTGGATCAATTACAAGATGAGAAAAGAAAAAAATTTTGCTTCAGAAGCTCCATATTGGCCACTGTTGGCTTGTTTCTTGCTGATAAAGACATGATGATGAGCAACGACCACTCGCTAAAGAAAGGATCAATGCTTTCTCCATGTCTTTACTTGGTTTCCTTTTGATCAAAGCAATTACATATTCCATAAACGTTGCATCACAAGGCAAGATGAGAAGTCCATTGCCTGGTAGTCCAAACTCTTCTTCTGCCAAATTGAATAGCTCCATGACAATTTTGTTCTTGAGATATTCCAAAGGAAGCACAAAGCGCTTCTGATCCACACTGTAAACAACAAAGTGACCCTTCTCGACCACTGATGATGTACTGCATCTGTTTGTGTCAGCATCCTCTGTGGTTCTTGTTAATGTGATTCTTTTTCGCCTGATTGCAGCCATCTTTTGCCATTTCCTTGCTACCTTGATAAGCTTCTTAGCACTGATCATCTTGCTTTACTCCAAGTTTAGTAGGAAAGACTCCGAGATGAAAGAAAAAAGAGGGAAGTTTTAGGTCTTAGAATTTGATTTCTGAATGCAGTTGTTGTGCTGGATATGAGGCAATGGAAATGGGATGAATATATAATCACAAGGCCGGAGACAGTCCCTTTAATGATTTAGTGGAATGCAGGTATTCAATGGAAACAAAGCCATGTGATGGGCAGATATTAGGTGTAATCTGCAAGGTGGGCATGTTTGCTTTTGTTGGATGATTAGCCCAGCAACGTGGAGCATTGACATGCATGCAGACACATCTTTATCTATCTGCCAGTAGTTTAACAACAATCTGGCCCAGTATTGCAATTATATTTGCTCAAAACCAGTTTATCACTGATTCCAACAGACATTTAGGATCCTGTTTAGATGAGGTTTATTACTCTAAACAGTGACAAGAAACCTTCTCTCAAGCAAATTGCCACCTGTCTCTTGTCTCTCTCAAATCCAATCAGTTTCATGACCTTCAGGTCACTTATCCATGGGGACAATCTCTTCCATGTAGATCTCAATGCTGATCTGAGGGATGCAAAGCCATGTGACAGTAGGAGAGATGTGTTGATCGGTCCTGTTAGTTTCACTTTGCTATTAACACATGGAGTTTGGATGAAAAGGGGACACAGTCCATTTTGCTTTGCCAAGTGTTCTAATTATCTTATATGAAACAAACCCTGCTCCACATGACCAAGGAGATTACTTTTGGAATATGGAATATATAAGATGACTGCAAGAGTGAAGATTTGGTTGCTGTTTGCCTGTGATTGTTACCATCCTTGTCTCTGAGGTGTAAAAACAAATTTTATCAGTTAGTCCATAACCAGCAAATAATCTAGATTCTAGGCTTCATCGGGCAATTATGAACATTCTACCTGAAGGTTTAACATGTACAAAAAAACTAGCTTCAACACTAAGGAGATGGGGTATATCTATAGGATAGCACTGAGCATATTTAACTAAGACAAATTGCCTTGGTCTTATTTAACTTTAGTCAGAAGAAATGTAAAGTTTGCTGGTGAATTTGTTGGATGGTCATACTTTATCTTTGCAAAGCAACAATATATTAGGAATGGATTTTCAAAGATTAACAAATATGGAGAGAATTAATTCTTTTTCTTAGTAGAATCAGTGCAAAATGGAGTATCATTACAAATGGGGAAATTAAATTCTTCATTTACTAAAATGAAACATCTCATTAATTGCCAAAAGGCAATAATCTGACATACGTGTACTTTAATTTAAAACAAGCCTAAGATTATGTTCTGTTTCAGTACCCAGAAACAAGGTGCTGGCTTGAACATCCTTGATGCAACAGTTCCTGATATAATCAATCAGAATCTTCTCTAAATTTTTTGCTAAACCGTGTTGGATCAAAGAAACCAAATAATCCATGAACTCTGCGTCCAAGGCAATGTAATTGGTTGATTACTTGACAGTCCGAACTCTTCTTCAGACATCTTGAAAAGTTGTAGAAATATGTTGTTGCTAAGATAGGACGATGGCATTGCGAAACGCCTCCGGTTTGTGGTGTAGACTACAAAATGGCCTTTGTTAGAGGTTAGTGATGCAATAAAACAATCTGCATTGACATTTTTGGATGAAGATGATATTTTGCTCTCCATGGCCGTCATCTTCTGCCACTTCCTGGTTACTTTGATGATCTTGGAGCAGACCATTTTTTCTTAATCTGTGGATTAATATTTAAATGACTTAAAGTCAGGGGAGAAAAAATAAGTCACTTTGGATTTCTGTGCTGAGTGAAAGCAACCAAACTGTATCCCTTAATTATATATGCACAAGGTTTTGAAGAGTCCTTTTTATGTTGCTTTCTTTGTGAATTCCAATTTCAAAAACTTGTGCTACTTGTGATTTTCCGATTCTGGAACTATGTCATGCATAAAAAAGTCAAGCCGATTTCGGGGAATTTTGAGGGAATCTTGGAAGATTATGCACTTTTTTACCCTTAACAGTATCACATTTTCCTTGTATGATATGGTACATGTACATAAATATTCATGTGCTAAAGATTTAAATTGACAAGATAAGAAACTGTACTTTTCTGTTGTCTCGATATATAGAACTGCATATATTTAAAGAGAAAAACATACAGGTAAACACAACAAGCTGTATGAGATGTATTTTTACCTACATCCATGAAGAAAATGTCTTCGAAAACCATGAAATATTGGAGTCTTATATAGGGTCAGGAACATGTTCTTTCTTACTGGTGGCATAATCAAGGCAATGGTTGATTTGTTAGTTAAAATTATGTGGCACCTGAGGAATCTAATTAGTGATGCAGAGCTAAACTGTCGAAACTTGTGCAGACTAACCATATCCGAACTCCATTGGGCATAAATTCTGTTGTCTGGTCTACCAATCCATGAACATAACATTTCATGTGATTCATATGTTTAATTGCAGTCACTAATTGATGCAGGAAATATTTATCAAGAAACATCCAATAGAAGTTTTATACAGATTTAATGTTACTGGTTTGCTATGAAAAATTTGATATGTGGAAAGAGCTTTTAGTATTTTACATTCATCCGTATTTGCAGCTATTCATGAGATAGCAGGATTCATTTACAAGTTTCTTTTTCTTCCTTTTGGGGTTGCAGAATTCATTTTTTACATGGTTGCTTTACTTAGTACCCGTAAACAAGTTGTTAGGAAAGTGGGATTCAGTCCCATGGGTATTTTGACTATTCAAATATCATGGGCTTTGTGTTTTTAGGCTTTCTTAAGAAAGTCTTAGCTACTTAATAAAAGATGTGAGATTGTTTTAAGGTAAAAAAAAAAAAAGAAGGTGGTGCCCCAAATCAAAGAAAAAAAAAGAAGCTAAGAAAATAGAGGGAAAAGAGAGAGAGTTGATTGAATGGAAGTCAATCTGATTGAGTTAAAATTTTGTCAATAAATTTTTGATTCAGAGTTTTAAATTTTAAACGATGAATATCGGGTTTGAAGCTCTCTAGGAATAAATTTAAGTATATTTGTTGAGTCACTATTTGGTGAGATTTTTTCAATTATCTCTCTAATTGTTGATTAGTTTTAATTTTAGTTAGAGAAAAACTTTGTATATCCATTATTTGATAGTGAAGATTTTTTTCTGATGGTTCGTAGTTTTTTCCTTTACACTAGAGGGTTTTTCATGTAAATCTTGATGTGCTTTATTTTTTTTTTTTGCGTTGTTGATTATTGATTGTTGTCTATTGCTGTAAGTTTATTGCAATATATTACTTTTGCGTTGTTGTGTTTATTACTTTAGGTCCAATAAGTGGTATCAAAGCTAAGTTTATTTTGAGACATCGATACAGAAGCAGCTCAAGACAGAAGTAAATTCTATTTGAGATCATGAAAGATGGTACAAGTTTCATGATAAAATTGACAGCATCAAAATTTTAATTTGGAAGCCTATGGTGGAAGATTATTTATACTGTAAAGATTTATATGAACCGGTATTAGGTGATTCGGCTAAACTAGCAAATATGAAAGATGAAAGAAGTTAGGCAAAAAGACGCTGGCAACAATAAAAAAATTGATTGATATCAATGTGTTTCATCATGTAGTGCAAGAGACAGATGCCCACACTGTTTGAAAAAAATTGACAATATTGTATGAGAGAAAAATAGGTATGAATAAAGTTATACTTGTTAAAAAGCTTGTAACTTTACAGTACAGGGATAGACGATCGGTTACGGAGCATTGGAGTGATTTTGAATATATATTTAATCGAATGACTACTATAGAGCTTAAGATAAATGATGAAATGAAGGCGTTGTTTCTTTTGGATTCATTTTCAGACAACTAGAATACTCTAGTTGTGACTGTTTTTAATTCAGCTCATGATTATAAAGTAACATTGGAGATGGTAAATGATAATATGCTTAATACAGAAGCAAGGCAAAAAGATTCAGACTATGAGAGTTAAGCTCTAGTCACAGAGAATAGGGGTAGAAATATCGATAGATGTTAAAACTCAAAAGGTCGTAGTAAGTATAAACATAAATCCAAGTCCAGAGATAAAGTAAAATGCTTTTATTGTGGTAAAACAGGTCATATAAAATGATACTGTAAAATTTTAAAGCAAGAGCAAAAAGATGAGAAAAATAAAAGTTTGGATGATGGTAATATTATAACAGTGAATTTAAATAGTGATTCAGTTACTTTGATTTAAACACATGGTGATTGTAATGATGTTGGTGATCTCAGTATTAAGTAGATAGTTGACACAAGAGCGGCATATCATTGTATTCCTAAAAGCAAGTTATTTATAACTTACAAAGCAAGAGACTTTGGTTGCATCAAGATGAAAAATAAGAGTGTGTCATCGATTGTTAAAATTAGTGATATTAATGTACAAACTATTATGGGTTACATATTGACTTTGAGAGATGTCAGACACATTTCAGATATGAGAATGAACTTACTTGCTATTAATTCCTTGATAAGGAAGGATGTGAGAGTCGATAAAAGAATGGATAATGAAAGCTTCTCAAAGGATCTATGGTAGTTACAATAGAGAAACTATGCTACATAATGTATAAGACATGGATGCAATTGAATGGCAACTAGATAAATATCGTTAAGAATGATGCTTCAGCAAACTTGTGACACAAGAGGCTAGCACACAGTAATGAGAAAGAGTTATAGGTTTTAACAAGACAGTCTCTCATTCTCTTGACCAAAGGTATGTCTCTCGATTTATGTGATTATTATTTATTTGGTAAGTATCATAGAGTTTTTTTTCATAAGAGTTCTCAAAAAAAAGAAAATAGATTAGAATTGATTTATTCTGACATATGCGGTCCTATTGAAGTTGAGTCATTGAGGGCAACAAGTATTTTATTACTTTTATTGATGATACTTTACGTAAGACTTGAGCGTATATATTGAAAAACAAAAGTCAGGTATTATAGTATTTTCAAAAATTTCATGCCATAGTGGAAAGGATAACAGGATTACCCCTGAAGTGTATTTGGACTGATAATAGTAGGGAATACATATATAAAAACTTTGAAGAGTACTGTTCAAAGTATAGGATCAGGTATAAGATGACAGAACTTGAAACATCGTAACATAATAGTGTAGCTGAAAGGATGAACAACACCATTGTAAAAAAAGTCAGATGCATGTTAAAGATAGTAAAATTACCAAAGCCATTTTAGGGTAAAACAGTCAACATCGCTTGTTATTTATTTAATAGATCACCATAAGTTCTTTTGGGCTTTGACATTTCAGAAAGATTGTGGACAGGGAAAGATGCTTCATTCTCTCACTTAAAAATTTTTGAGTGTAAAGCATTCATACATATGTTGAAAGAGCAGAGGTCAAAACTTGATAGTAAGGCCACACAATGTGTGTTTGTAAGATATGGTGATGAGAAATTTTACTATAGGGTAATAAAGAAAAAGACAGTTGAAAAAGGAGATGTGGTCTTTCAGGAAAAAAATTATAGCAAACCTAAAAAAAAATAAGAAGACTACACAAGTTACTATTGAGTGTGATATTTCAACACAGATAGAGGTTCTATAAGAAAGAGTCACAGATGGTAAAAATGAGCAAAAAATAGAATTTAGATATATGAATGAGTTAGCCACAGTTAGTGATGAGCCATGTGCAATTAATTTTGAACAGAGAGCAATCTTCTTTACCTAAGAGTGTTAAGCAGAATGAGCTACCTTCGACATCAGGTGGTATAGAGTTTCAGCCTAAGAGATCTACTAGAGAGTACATGTTATCTACCGGATATCTAAGTTTAAATTTTATTTTAGTTGTTAGTGAATGAGAGCTAGAGAGCTTTCAAGATGTGCAAACTACTCGAGATAGAGATCAATGGTTAAAAGTAATGAAAGAAAAGATTGAGTCATTATAAAAAAATAATACATATGATCTTGTTAAACTTTAAAAAAAAAGAGACTGTTGAAAAATCAATGGGTGTTTAAGTTAAAAAAGGATGGTGAATAGCTAGTGAGATACAAAGCTTGATTGGTTGTAAAAAATTTTTCTCAAAAATTAGACATCGATTTTGATGAGATTTTCTCTCTAGTTATGAAGATGAGTTTCATTCTAGTGGTATTAAAATTAGTAGCTAGTTTGAATCTTGAGCTTGAACGATTTGATGTCAAGACTACATTTTTGCATGATGACTTGTAGGAGGATATTTATATAAATCAGCCTAAGAGTTTTGAAGTAAAAGAGAAAAAAACACTTAGTTTACAAACTAAAAAAAACCTTGTATGGCTTGAAACAAGCTTCCCAATAGTGATATAAAAAGTTTAATTCTTTTATGGTGAGTCATGACTATAAAAAATAGTAACAGATCCTTGTGTATATGTTAGAAAATTCTCTAATAGTAACTTTTTTATTTTCTTATTATATGTTGATGATATATTGATTGTGAGATAAGATGCTGGTATAGTTCACAGGTTGAAAGAACAATTATCTAAATCTTTTGACATGAAAGATTTAGGTTCAGCAAAGCAGATTCACGATATGAACATTATTCGAGATAGAAGAGTTGAAAATCTATGGTTATCACAGAAAAAGTATGTTGAACGGGAGCTAAGTAGATTCAACATACAACATGTTAAATTAATTACAGTCCACTTATCAACCTTTTTCATTTGAGTAAAAAATTTTATCCGGTGACTAAAGAAAAATAACTAGCTATATCTAGTATTCTTTATTCTTCTGTAGTCAGTTCTTTGATGTATTTTATGATTTGCACATGGCTTGACATTACTTATGTAATTGATGTAATGAGCAAATTTCTTTCTAATTTGAAAAAGGTTCACTGAGAAGCGGTGAAATAGATTTTTAGATATTTAAAGGGCACTTTAAAAATGTGCTTGAGTTATGAAGTTTCATAACCAGTTCTAGAAAGGTTTACTGATGCTGACATGACAGGTGATCTTGATGGTAGAAAATTTACTTCAGGGTATTTATTCATTTTTGCAGGAGCTGTGTTTTGACAGTCTAAGTTGTAGAAGTGTGTTGGTTTGTCAACAACAGAAGTTGAGTATATTGCAACAACCAAAGCAGGTAAAAAAATACTTTGGATGAAATAATTTCTTCTTGAATTGAGGTTGAATCAGAAAAAGTATGTGATTTCTGTGATAACCAAAGTGTTTTAGATTTGAGTAAAAATGTCATGTACCATTTTAGAATGAAGCACATTGATGTTAGATATCAATAGTTACATTTAGTGATCGACAAACAGTAAATGCTATTAAAGAAAGTCTATACTGATGAGAATGTAGTAGATATGTTGACTAAGACACTTTTCAAGGAGAAGTTTGAGCTTTATAGTAACTTGGCCAGAATGGGTTTTTTAGTGAAGGTAAATTCTAAATAAAATTGTTATGGTGATAAATTTTCTCTTAATGGGGCTAGAGTGAGAGATTGTTAGGAAAGTGAGGTCTAACCCCATTGATTTTTTGACTATTCAAAGGCCACGGGCCTTGTGTTTTTAGGCTTCCTTCAGAAAGCTCTAGCTATTTAATAAAAAGAGATGGGGTTGTTTTAAGATGAAAAAAAAAAGAAGGTGGCACTGCAAACCAAGAAAAGAAAGGAGAAAAAAATAAGCCAAGAAAATATAAAGAAAAGGAAAAAGAAAGAGTTGGTTGAACGAAAGTTGATCCATGGTCCGATTAAGCTGCAATTTTGTTAGCAAGTTTATGATTCAAAGTTTACATTCTAAACTATAAAGATCGGATTTGAAGCTCTCTAGGAACAAATTCAGGATGTATTTGTTGAGTTAACTATTTAGTGAGATTTCTCCAATTATCTCTCTGGTTGTTGATTAGCTCTAATTTTAGTTAAAGAAGAACTTTATATATCCATTATTTGATAGTAGAGATTTTTTTCTGATGGTCCATAGTTTTTTCCTTTACACTAGAGGGTTTTTCATGTAAATTTTGGTGTGCTTTATTTTTTTTACGTTGTTGATTATTGATTGTTGTATATTACTATGGGTTTATTGCGATATATTATTTTTGCGTTATTGTGTTTATTGCTTCAGCCCAACACAAGTGACTATTGGTCAGCAAGTTCTCCATGGAAAAATGTACTGTATGATGATGAGCAGCCGTAGCCAGCAATGGAATTGAGCACTGCATTCTCCAAATCCTTAGCTAATCCTCGTTGTACCAACAAGACTATGTAACTCATGAAGACTGAATCACACGGTAACGTTATAGGTCCATCGCTCGACAGACCAAACTCCTCCTCAGACATCTTGAAGAGTTCTTGGAAAATGCTATTGCTGAGATATGCCAAGGGAATCACAAAACGTTTCTTATCCATTGTGTATACAACGAAATGGCCTTTATCCGCAACTGATGATTTATTAGCACGATCTACAGCAGCCATCTTTGGGTTAGTCCTTGGTGGAGTAATTCTTTTCCTCCCAATGGCAGCTATCTTCCTCCACTTCCTTGCCATTCTGATGAGCTTCTTTGTGCTAATCATGCTTGCTTTCTGACTAAGTTATAGAATGAGTTAAAGCAAGAAGTGTGAAAGGGGATTTCTGTGTTGAGGACAGGAAGCAATTGTTGTGATTATTTATAGACTGAGCTAAAACAAAACAACTTTATTTGTAGCATTCCCCCTGCTGTGAATCTCTAAGAAAAAAAGGTTATAATTGTTTCTATAAGAATCGATGTTTGCATGGATATAATTTCTGATTTCTGTCTTGTAGTTCAAGGACACAGCAGTTATTACAAGCACTGAAAGGTCAAATTCCAATCTCACAACCACAAGAATAGATATAAACTAAAGAAGATTCTAAACAAGGCGAGATCCAAATTTTGTTGCATAGTTAAAATCAATTTACTTTCATCTGTTGTGCTTTCTAGAAATGATCAATTTACTTGGATGGAAGTGAATAAAACAGCTTAAAAATACCAATTAAAGACCTAGATAAGGTTAAAAACTTTGTGCTTTTTTCTGTGTGGAGTGATAATCAATGCAAACTGTTAACTAGTTATGTTTAAATCACTATTATGTTCATATATTGTCGAAATCAATATGATAGACAGCGGAATCAAGGAGATTTAGAACAAGAAAGAAATTCTTTGAAAAGTTCTCTCCTTTTGTACCTTGATTTGTGCATCACTTAGTTGGGTACATTATTCTATATTAGATATTCTGTCTCTCAAAAAAAATGGCCAGTTCCGCTTACATCTGACTTAAATAGAATCAAAACTATTAATTTGGAACCTTAAGAAAAAATTAAGTTAAGATAATATATGGAAAATGAATAAAGCAAGATATACCACAACAACAGGAGTAGAACATTTTATTTGTGTTGGTTGCAGATTTAACTAGCCAAACATGACAATGATGTAATATTGATTCATTAATGGTGAAAATCGGTTGAATATATTTTCTGTCTATCATCTTGGGCACCCTCTTCATGTATCATCAAAGCTGGTCTTTGGTAGGACATCCAGTTAGGGTACAAGTTCACCTGCAGAATGTTATTGGTGGTGCAAAATTATTAAACTGTCTCAAATTAATAGACATGGACCAAAATGGATCTCCTCAGTCATGAATTCTGTATCTAGCTACATTCGTTTATCCATGTGCATAACATTACCATTAGCTGAGATAAATCATATTAACTTCTAAATATGATAGTGATAAAAAAATCATGTAAGGTTGCAGGATCTGCAGATATCATTATAGAGCAAAAGTAGCTTTCTTTTTGGTTTATCATAAAGTAAAAGAAAGGTAACTTCCTGACATATTGCAAGAGTTGTAGATGAAGGAGACAGGCAATAACTGATTTTAGTTCTCAAACTATGTTTATTGCATTTTACAAATTTACTGGATTTTAAATGAAACATGTTTTGGTAATACACTATGATATTTTGTATGATTTACACCTTGAAAGAGATAGTTTTCTCTATTTTCTTTTCCTGTACCGAAATTTTTTACAAGATTCAAAGCCAATTCACTCAGAATCCACAAACAAGTTGATCTGCATGTACTTGATTGGAATAAGCATCTGATGAGCAGCGATAGGTAGTAAGGGAATTGAGCACTGCTCTCTCCAAATCCTTGGCTAATCCTCGTTTCACAAGGAAGACAATGTAATTCATGACAACTGAATCACAAGGCAATGTTATAGGCCCATTACTTGGCAGTCCAAACTCCTCTTCAGACATCTTTAAGAGTTCTTGGAAAATGCTGTTGCTGAGAAACGCCAACGGAATCACAAAACGTCTCTTATCCATTATGTAGATAGCAAAGCAGCCTTTATCACCCCCTGTTGGTTTTTTAGTAGCCATCATGTTACTGGTCCTTGATGAACTAATTCTTTTCCTCCTAATGACAGCCTTCTTCTGCCACTTTCTTGCCATTCTGATAATCTTCTTTGTGCTGATCATGTTGCTTGCTCTAGACAAGTGGATTTATGACTTCGAGCAAGAAGTGAGAAATGGTAATTTGTGCTGATCAGAGGAAGCAAAGGGAGTGATATTTATATATAAAGAGCGAAAAACAACTTAATTTGTAGCTCTCTCTGTAGTGAATCTCTAAGCAAAAGCATGAGATTACTTCCATTGGAATGGATGTTTTCATGGACATATTTTCAAACGTTGGGCTGCCAACGTACTGCTGCCTTGGTGGAGATCACCCTTTCCTGTCTTGTGGCTCAAGGACACAACAGATGCTACTGATTCTGCATAGTTATGATGAATTCCATTCCGACAACCAGAAGAATAGTTATGATGAATTCCATTCCGACAACCGGAAGAATAGATAGGTATAAACTAAAGAGGGGTACTCTTAACTTTTTCCTAAAAAAAGAAGTTTTTCCTTCTTTGCTCTAGCATTCAAGCTTTCTAGAAATAATAAACTTTTTACTTTCACTAAAATCGTTATGAAAGAACATTAGAATTTGTTTTGCATGCTTAAAAATATCCATAGGAGTAGTCCTATATGAGGTCATGTGCTTTGACACTTTGGTGATATAATCAGTGCAAATCATTTATTAGTTTAACGTCGATGCTAAAAGACAAAGATACATGAGAAACCAACAAAATTTAGAACAAGAAAAGTTAACACATTGAGAAGTTCTCTTGCTTTGTCCCTTGGCTTGTTCTGTCTCTATCAAAGATGGTTATGTTGTGCCTACTGGCTACTGCCTAGCGTTCCTCAGTAAGCATAGTTAGGGCATCTTATATTTGATCCTCCTTTTTACCCCCTGCACTTCACTTTGTCTCATTTTAGTTGTTACATAAATGACAAATAAAATTAGACTAACTGTTACCCATTACTAAGCTGTGTGGTGGAGGAGGAGATGGCAGGCCGAATTTTGCTCAAGCAGGTGGGAGGAATCCTAAGAATCCGTCAAGTGCCCTGAAAAGGTCCGAGAAGATATATTAGAAATAATGAATTAAATCTTATAAGGTATTTATTTGAGATTTGTTAGATATTATTTAATAGATAAAAATATTTACAAAAAAAAAATTTTGAAAGAAAATTGATTATTAATATATAAGTTTTACTTACAGAAAAAAAATATTAAGAGGAAAGAAATTTTTAGTTTATATGTTTATATATAAATAGAATATCTTCAGAATTAGGTATGAAAAAAAGACGTAAGAGAGTTATATGGTTTTATGAGATAGATATCTTATAGGAATATTGGAGATTTACATCTTATGAGTGTATATGTTTGAATATTTGAGAGTGAATTAGAGGAGATTGAGAGAGTTCACATAAGTATAATGAATAAGTATATATGAGTGTATATTTGTTTGAGTTGAAATGATATATATAGGTTTGTGATTGTTTGAGTTGAGAATACTCTATAAGATTAGAAGAGATTGAGAGAGCCTATAGATATTGATTGTTGAGTGAGATTGATTTAATTTGTATATTTGTAATTTTTTACAATTAATGGATATTGTTTATCATCCGTAGATATAAATCAATTAGATCGAATTACGTTAAATTATTATATTTTATATGTTTAATTAATTAATTATTTGATTTTACTTTCGCTGATTTGATTTGATAAAAACTTTTTATCTGACAAGATATTCTGTCAATTCTATATGAAAAAGCAAGCAGAATTATTTTTTTACTTGAAGTTATTAAAATTTGAATCCCAATCATTAGAATTAAAAGTCTAATATTTTACCAATAAATCAAGTGACTGTCGGCAGCTGAATTACTTCTTTGCACATGGTCAAATTCCGTTCTGATGGCTCCAATGCTAGGATTCTGTGTTGATAAGTGTTAGGGATAGCATAACCCATTTTTTTCTAATATATATACGGTGAAAAGTGCAGGGGCCGATGAGAATGCCCTTGTATATGATCATTGTGCAGGAAGGAAGACTGTTAAGGTAATCTTACATTCTTTTTGAAGCAAAGTTAAAATTGAATATATATTGAGGCCACGATCATTTACTAGTGTTTTGACTTGTAGTTGTCATTGCACCATCAGCAACCATTATGTGCTGTCTTGCAGTATGTATTTTAGTGTTGTAGATGCGTATAATATTGGCATCGACAAGTTTTGGAAATTGTTTTTGTGCTAATGTATCGGTTAAGTAATAATCATTTCACCAGTCAGTCATCACAAAAAAAAAATAAATAAATAAAAGAAAAAGTAAGGCAATAGCCATTCATGGTTTTCAATGATCTTGCAATTAGGCAGCTATATGATTTTGTTCGGTCATCGAATTCCTCCACATGGGGCCCCAAGATGCCAGCAACCTTGTTTGATTTCTCCTACACGGCTTTTTTTATTTTATGAAGCATGTAGCCATGAACTGTCTGTCGGCTGTTCCAAGAATTTCCTTCTATTCTTTTTTTTTTCCTTTTATTAGAAGCGAACTGAAAATGCCACTATAACTAGTCGATCAATGAGACTATGATGGTGTAAATAGGGGGATATATGTGGTCATGAGTTGGGCCTTGGCCCGTTTGATTGCTGAAAGGTGAGGCAAAAATCCTAGGAGAATAGCGAGGAACAACTTTCGGCTATGGCAGGACTGGCTGTTATTGTCTAATCCCAACTTCGATTGCTAGAAAATTCAAGGCAAGCATTGAAAATGTGAGCAACCAGGAACATTTTTACTTGACTGTGACTCGAAAGATAGGTGGATGAAGCATCAAGCTTCAGGCAGCTGGATCCAATAGCTGTGAATTGATGTTTGTCTGCTTTAAGTGGTGTCCACTTGAGAATCCATTGACCCAAGTTATGATGCCAAAGGCATACGTTTTCTTGATATAATACATGGTTAAAGGCTTGCAGTGGATCCAACTAATTGTCTAGTGGAGAATGGTCCTGGGATTTATGGCTTTGATAACAGCGAATAAGAGGGGAGAATTTGGGGCACTGAGCTGAGAAAATTTGTCCTACTTGATCTCAAAATGTGTCTCAAATCATTTGAAATAGGATCTTGTCAGGTTGTGTATCTATTCATTTATTAATTTTGATAATACAGAATTTAATGAGACAAATGGATTATTAATTAGCGTAGAAAAAGTCAAATTCAATACATCTGTAATAATAAGTGTAATCCGGAAAAAAAAAAAAGGGTTTTCTTATCATCATTAATTAAGATGCTTGAGAATGAAAATTAGTCATCTAATTAAAACGAGAAGGTTCTCTTTGCCTGTAGCCCACAATAGCTGTTCAGTTTTGGAAATATGCTTTTGCTTTGGCAAGTGGGAGCTGCTATGAATTTGTTCTTATCTTTCCACTCATTGACAAGCAATCATCATCTTTGCCAATATCCCACTTTCAGAAAGCCCACTAAAGCTACTCTTATTTAAAACAACAAAAGTCTTCATGTTCTTATTTCTTACAGGCGCAAGAACAGCTGTTTGGACGTAGGCAAAGAGTCGGTGACAAAATCAATTATCTTTTCACCTTTTGTTTTTTGTTTCTCCGCGTTTGGGCAAATACCTGTCTCTTTCATTACAATGTAAGCCTTCCTCTATACATAGCAACCGGTATTCAAATCAGAAAAAGGATTGTTGAAAAGTATATAAAATCAATTCATGCTTTCCGGAAATGCTGACCTGTAGTCCATTCTAATCTTCTTGTGTGCCACTATAAATAAACTCAACATTACCTTCTTTGCTTGACACGTACATTTGTCAACTCAACACAAATGGCTCTCTTTCTTTGCTTGTTATTCGTTCTCGTTTCTTCTGCAGCTGCTTGTGATCGCTGTGTGCACCAGTCCAAGGTTGCTTATTTCTCCAAAGCCTCTGCCCTTTCATGTAAAGTTGCAAAACTCCATCTTATTTCCATTTCTAGTTTTCTTACTTGAAAAACGAAATTGGCAAAGACCCAGATGATATTTCTGTGAGAAATTTGGAGGGTAACATTTGTTTTGTCATTTGTGGCTTTGATATTTGCAGCTGGAGCTTGTGGTTATGGTTCCTTGGCATTAGGCTTAGGCGACGGACACCTTGCAGCTGGTGTTTCTTCTCTTTACAAAGATGGAGCTGGTTGTGGTGCCTGCTTTCAGGTTTGTATAATTGTACAATAACAATTAGTTTTTATTTTTGTAGTGGAAATTTGAGTTTGATTTTTAACATATTTTGGCAGATAAGGTGCAAGAATTCAACTCTGTGCAGCAGCAAGGGAACTAGAGTGACATTAACTGATCTCAATCACGATAATCAAACCGACTTTGTTCTTAGCAGCAGAGCTTTCATGGCCATGGCTAACCAGGGCATGGGCCTAGACATTTTGAAACTTGGGATTGTCGACGTGGAATATAAAAGGTGATCCTGAATTAAACATTCAATCACATTATCATACTCCAAATTAAATAATGAAAAGAATGATTATGATATTTTTAAAAGTTTCCCCATCTGATGGTTTGTTCCAACCACCACATAAAAAAGTCAGGCCCTGCTTGGACCTACTTAAGAAATTATGGGGTACCACAGCAGGTTCATTAATGGCTATAACGGTCCAATTTCTTCATTATATTCCATTTTTTTTATTTTCATTACAAGTCCATTTGTTTTTTCTTTTTTTTTTATAATGCTAATGAATTTGTTATTGTCTTTGGTTATGTGAAACAGGATACCTTGTGAATATAAAAACCAGAACTTAGCTGTTAGAGTAGAAGAATCAAGCCAAAAACCAAATTACTTGGCAATTAAATTGCTGTACCAAGGTGGTCAGACAGAAATTGTGGGCATGGATGTAGCACAGGTTAGCTCAACTCAAAGAGTGTTAAACTTAAGTAGCCAAGGCTGTCTGCTTGTATCCATTTACACTGATGTTCTGTTTACCATTCCAGGTTGGGTCTTCAAACTGGAATTTCATGAGCAGGAACTATGGAGCAGTATGGGACACAAGCAGAGTTCCAAATGGTGCCCTGCAATTTAGATTTGTTGTAACAGCTGGGTTTGATGGCAAGTGGATTTGGGCCAAAAGTGTGCTGCCAGCCGACTGGAAAACAGGAGTTGTTTATGATACTGGAGTTCAAATCACTGAGATTGCACAAGAAGGTTGCTCTCCTTGTGATGACGGCCATTGGCAATGAGAACCAAGTAATCTTGTGGCAATGCACATAATTATAGTTCGATCGTTCAACATATAGTGAATTTGAATAATTTAGAAGATTAAAGAAATGAATATATGGTTTTTTTTTTCTCAATGTTATTTTCTAGTTTGTTCTTGAAGATATCTAAAATTTTTTTTCTATTTTACCATAATAAAATGCTCTTTTTTTTTTCATGATAAACAGTTACATGGAAATAGTGATGAATACATAGACATGTAATCTTAGACATGATAAAAAATTGATACATGAAAGTAATATTGTTTAAAATATTAATAAAAATTATATAATAATTTGATAAAAATAAAAAATATATTTTATATTTGATATGCTAATATGAATCATGATGTTATAATTTTCACATTTTACATATAATATTCGAACTGCTATTTCTTATCTAATAGAATTAACTTAACCTTTTAATTTCATATAAAAATCTAAAAAAAAGAAAAACCCAAAGTAGGGAAAAATAAAAGAAAGAAAAGTAAACTCACGAAAATCAATGTTCCAAATTTTCGATTGATTCCATCATTTATAATAAAACAGAAACATCACAAAGGTTTTTTTCTCAAATCATAATAAATATTTATCTTCTTTTTTTTTTTTTTAGTATTTCTAACTTCGAATTTTCTTGATTCCTATCTAGATAACCCAAGTGGATCAAGGCAATGAATTGTGAATCCACCATGTGCAATGTGGGTTCAATTCCCATCGTTCATCCATGTCAATTTTTTTTAAAGATGAAAAAATAAAATTTATTTATTTATTTGTTATATTTATTACGACGATGAATAATCAAATTATCATTATATTTATTCTTTTCTAGTTTAAATATGTGCCCCTTATTACTTGAGCAAAATAAAATAATTAAAATCATTATTCATTATAATTAATTAGCTACCTTAACATTTTATCTCTGTCGTTATGAAATTATTATTACTAAAATTTTCATCTGACAGCAAAATATCACACTTTGAAATGTTCGATCTTGATGGCCCAAAAAAAACCTGTTCTATCTGTATAAGCCCAATCCAAAGTTTTGGTTCACGAACCGGCGTTGCTGAATATTTTACTGGTTCACAAGTTGCAAACTAGGTCCATCGAGCTCAATAGTTTTAATAGCCCAGATCAGGGCCCAATTCTCTGCCCTCCGCATGACTCTAACAACGGCTCAATTGCTCAACCTTCGTAATACTATTTTTCTTTTTGCATGTTGTGCAGTTCTAGATTTCAGGTAGGCCATTTCATCTTAAAACTCTTGGCGAAATTTGAGAAGGGAGATCTGCAAAGATAGGCTTGAAAATATCAAATAAAGAAACTTAGATGTGACATCCCAATCCACGTAAGGAGATTTCAAGGCTTTGTTATGATTAATAGATAAAAGTATAAATTTAAATTTATGAAATATTTTTTTAAGATAAAATCATAAATTTTTTGAATTAAAATAAATAATATTTTATAAATTGAATGTTGATTTGTACAAATAATATCAAAGTTAAATTATTAATCAAATATGAATTAAGTAAATATTATAAAAATCACTTTTAAAAACCGGAAAGAAATAAATATTATGCGATTGAAAATTATTTTTAAAATCTTAATATCTAATATGATTATAATTCTGTGTGTATGACAGAATCCATCAACGTTAGATTAAATTGTTAAACCGGGCCTCCTATTAAATCTCTCTTCTTTGAAAGATCAAAATGCCCTGTTCCGATCATTCCTTTCTACATGCTGAGCTCATTTTCTTCTATAGAGTAAGCTGTAATATCATATGGGACACTGAGATGCCATAGAAGAAAGGGTGTCCACAATACGATAAGTCCATTTTCCAATTCAATGCTTGTCCCTGAGAAGGTTACTCAGCACAAGGGTTGCCATCCAATCTGCTGATCATAAATATATTAACCACTCACTGATTGCAATGGCTGGTACGCATCTCCCTGTGTATTTCTTTCGTTGCCTCCCAAAATAAACGAGAAGGAACCGGAGAATAAGACTCAGAATAACCATCAAACGAAGCTCCCATTCAGTCCAAAACTTTTTACAATTTCTGTGAATATCCTCTTCAAGTTCTGATTCCTTGATCTCTACATAGAGTAGAGAAATGGGCCAAATGGCAGCTGAAAATTCAAAAAGAAAAAAAAAATCAACTCAATCAATTTAGGGAATTTGATTACATGAAAATATTAGTAGGGAAATGGCCATCCAAGGAGAGTTATAACTACATAAATTCTTAGTTAAGCAATGGATCAAGGCACATATAATTCAATAAAAACCCATTTTTAATTAAAAAAAATGAAAATAAACATTGATAGTTCTGGTTAAGGGATAAATTTTTTTTTTAAATCTTCGCATTCTCAAAATTAAAAAAATAAATGAAAGAAAGCTATTGAGTATATCATTAGTGGAGAGGTAGCTCCTAGTTTCAGACCCTATAAGAACCTATAATGCTAGCTTTTAGTAGGTCCTATCCCATCCCATCCATGAATATCCGAACGTGGTGGAGATAAATGATCCCATCCCAAGAGAAGAGGGGTCAAGTCCCTGAGCTTCCTAGCCATAGTTTCCGAAGGTGACAGGAGACGACAGAATAAGACATCAAAGCAGGCCATTAACTTCAACAACCCAAAGGGTGAATCGGAGTGCGAAATAGAGACGGCGCAGAACAATCATTACGCCGCTGGCCCTTTCATTTATAAACTTTTTTTTTTTTTTGCATTTAGAGCTTTCATTATACAGTTGAACACTTCTCACTATAAACTGTTCTTTCACTCTGTTTCTTCTATCACATGCTCTTTGGTATTATTTCTCACATCATTTCTTCGTTATTGAAACTTAAGAAAGATCAAGCAAAATAATTGCTTTGATAACATGGGACACTTTTATGATTATGATTTTTTTAGGTACTGTTTCGATTTAATGTCAGAAGAATTCTCATGGTTGGAAATTGTATATCAAGACCACTTATTTAGGATATTTGTTTGTCAAAAATCATTTTATGAGTTGAATTTGGTTTAATTTTCTCGTGCCTATCTCTTATTATGCCAGTTCATTGTTTGTATTAGAGCTGCATGAATGTTTGAGGGGAAATAAGAGTTAGAAAGATATAAAAAATAAATTTAATAATGATACCGTTAGGCCAATAATAGGGAAGAAGACACGGTGAAAAAGATTTAAAAGAAGTTGCTTGTTCAATCTAAATAATAAGAAAAGAGATGGGATTGGGTTCATGAGTAATGAGATTTGTGGAGCAAATGGATGTCATGTGTCTGATGACATGTGGCTAAAAACATCCCGTAATTAAGGTTGCAGAAGAAATGTCAGAAGCATTAAACAGGAACGTGCTGAAGAGAGAAGAGAGAAGAGAGAAGAAAACAGAAAGAGGCCTAATGGCTAATGGCTAATGGCTAATGGCTAAAGGCCTATGCAAATGCAATGCAAGGAGCCTCATAGTTATAGTCATAGTCATAGTCATAGTCATAGCCTCCTCCATTACAGACCCCAAAGAAAATGAATGACCATAACTCTCCCTCTTCCCTCCCATGCTTTCCTTCAGCCACAGCATTGCCGTGTGAATTTTAACCTGTAATTTTGAGGCTGCTATCACCCCATGATGGCACCATTGGGATTGGGGGGTTCTTTCAATTACCAATTCCCCAACAATACCAATAACAAGAATTTGATTGTGACTCTTTTTAGTTAGTTCTTTTCAGCGAGTATAACAGTTCGGACTTCCATGTTTCCAACCACAAGCATGTTCTTTTAGATTAAAGGGGCCAGGGTTTGTCTTTGTCTTGCACTCACCATTTCGTGGGGCCCTCAACTAGCTGGCTACCTCTCAGGCGACTGTAGATAAGTAACAAAGCTGTAGTGGATGTTGGGGATAACTCTACTGGTTTGAGTGAGTGTGAAGGTTGAAGCTCACAAATTGAAGAAGCGGCCAAAACTGTTTGATGATAAAGAAATGACAAAACTGTATCGTGGAGTGAAATCTCTGATTTGTCAAACTCATATGGCAATCAAAACAAAAGGGTAAAGAAAACTTTATTAACCTGTATTGGTAAATGGAAAATACCCAAAAAAATGTTAAGTGAGCAAGAGCTTGCGTTCCAATTTCCACATGATCAAGGTAGGAAATCATTTTGATGATTAAGGATATGATGTAACCCTTACCACCAAATGTCCTGTTTTACATTTTAACTTTTTTTTTTTTGTTTGAGAAGTTCATTTTTATGTAAGAAGAATTTGTAGATTGTAAGTTGTTACCTTTTTCATTCTGAAAGGGGCCTTATGCATTACTTGGGTAATACTGATACAGCTTTGGGGGAAATGCCTGATGCCCTGAACCTTTTATCCTGAAAGAGAGTTTACTTCCAAGAGAGAGCTTTTCTTTTGCTTTTGTGTGTGGAAAAATTAAATGCTGGTAGCAGCAAAATCGGCTTTTTGGCTCATTAGGAATGAAAAAAAAAAAAACCATAGCTGCAAATACAACTAACGTAGCTCCTCTCTGGTCAATGATTTATGATGAACTTATCGGTATCATCAGAAACCAATCATTAAACATGTTAAAACCTTACGCGTATTCTCTAACGCTATTCTTCATTCACGCACCTTTTTTTTTTATTATTATTAAATTTTATAATTAAAGTGAAAAATGAATTTTCTGATGTTAAATTTATGATACTGATAATACAGCTTAATACAATATATAAATATATATTAGTAGAATCTTGTTCCAATATTTATGGATCATATTACAGTATTTCATGAAATCTTTATTTTTCTGGCATCATGTTGAGACTCATGGGTTGGTAATTGGATACTGTAGTATGGTTATTGCATGTACATCACTTTTCATTCTGTCCATTGCCCATTCGCCTTTTTGTCTTACTTAATCTGTATTTATTAATCTGATTATTATTACTTTTTACATTATTCTTTTTTTTTTACCAATATGGGTTTTCTTTTTTGGAATTACAACAAATTAAAATTTTTTATTTGGAAAAAATATTTTAGCAAGAAGAGTCAATTTTAGTTGGTGGGAGTCTATAAATAGGGGCCTGTTTTGTACTACTTGTCCAAAGTGAAGCAAAGAAGCGTGCTTGCCCCGCATACCTCTCTCACTGAGCCCACTTTTGTAGCAGAGTAAGCAAACAAGGGAAACCTGTCA